GCATTTAAAAAATGAATTACTAATCACAATGGAATGGATGAATCTCAGAAACATACTGATGGAAATAAAGTCTTACATAAAAGAGTGCATATCATGATTTCCTTTATATGAAGTTATAAAATAGGCAGAACAAATCTATGGTGAAAGAATATCAAATTAGTGGTTTGCACTGTGTGGGGGGTGACAGCAGAAATCAAATAGGAAGGGAATAAGGAAGATTTCTAGGATAATGATAATAACTCAATAAGCATTTGGATTACACAAACGTATGCCATTCTTCAAAACTCTACTAAGGATGGTGCATTTTGTGGTATGTAAATTCTACCTTAAGCAATTTTTTTTGTTGTAGATGGACATAATACCTTTATTTTATTTATTTATTTTTATATGGTGCTGAGAATTGAACCCAGTGCCTCACCCATGCTAGGTGAGTGCTGTACCACTGAACCACAACCCCAGTCCATACCTTAAGCAATTTTAACACATATTACATCCAACAACATGTATGGCTGAGGTGTAATAAAAATTAAGATGGAATTTTTTTTGGGGGGGTCCAGGGATTGAACCCAGGGTCACTCAACCACTAAGACATATCCCAGCCCTTTTGTATATTTTTTTTAGAAACAGGATCTCACTGAGTTGCTTAGGGCCTCGCTAAATTTCTGAGGCTGGCTTTGAACTCTTGATCCTCCTGCCTCAGCCTCTAGAGCCACTGGGATTACAGGTGTACTCTACCATGCCCAACAGTAGATGAATTGATGATAGGTTAGACATACATAGATAGTTGATAAAAGCAAATATAAAAAATGTCAATTGGAGAATCTAGGTGGTGAGTAAGTGGCTATTTACTATAACATTCTTTTAATTTTCTTTATCTTTAATAATTCTTACAAAAAATAGTGAGGAAAACCTCCATTTTGGAACCCCAGGTTACAGATCTAGGCATCAATGGCTGCCAACATTATTGAGTGAAAAATTGATGGAGCATGAAACCATGATGGATTGGGCAGACAATAACCTGATTCTACCACTGAATCCTATCACTAAAAAGTAGAGCATCAAACATTATATCCTCCCTGAGGCAATGCAATAGTTGCCCCACATGTGAAGTATCAGGGCGTAAAACTAAAATTGAATCTGAATATAATGAAAATTCTAGATCTAGCTACTAATAGACAGGAAATGCAAGAGGGCAAGGAACATATTAAATGACACCACATGGGTGCCATTAACCAAATACAGATTGTGGGGGATTCCATGGTGGAAATCACCTAGTATCTTAAGTCAATGGCATGAACACTTAAACAATAGACACAAATAGGAGGATCTCTAATACAGACATCTAAGGACCTTGGATCCCATTTTGAACCAACTCACAATAAAAAAAAAAACGTTTTTGAGATAGTTAAGAGAAATGCAATGTGGGGTATTAGATTATATTTTTAAAATGCTGCTTATTTTATTCAGTGCAATAATGATACTATGGTGATTTTTAAGTTCTCTGTTAAAATGCTGAATTATAAGATGAAATGAGGTGATTTGTTTTTTAAGTACTTGTGCAAAATAAATAAATAAATGGTTAGGGGATAGGCCATTCAAGAATGGCAGTAATTGTCAAAGCTAGGTGATGACACATGGAGTTTTATTAATCTATTTTCCTCCACTTGTAAATGTTAAAAAAAAATTTAAAAAGAAAAGAAAGAAACTTCTGAAGCTTCACACTCTTCTAGTTACATCCCATTTCTCCATTCCTAATACAGCAAAACTTTTGAAAAGTGTCTATACTTAGTCTCCTATACTTAGTCTATACATTCTCTCCTGAACCTGGTTCAATGGAGATATTTGTCTCCATCATGCCACTAATGCCACTCTTATCGGGATCACCAGTGACTTCCAAGTTGCCAAATCTAATCATCTATTCTCAGTTCTCAACTTAAATGGCCTTAGTGACATGGATCACTATTAATCATTCCTTCTCAAAAGAGCTTCTTCATTTAGCTTCAGGACACCAAATTCTGATTTTCCTCCTGCTTCAGTCTCTGGTCGTTTTCTTAGCAATGTCTTGCTAGAACATTCTTATTTTCTTGCTCTCAAATATAAGTACACACCAGGGCTCAGTTCCCCAACCTCTTCCCTATCAGTTGTCATTTCCTTAGACTTAATTTATTATCGTTGTCTTGGCTATAAATAACCCTGAACATGCTGGGGATTCCCAAATTTTCATTGCTAACCCCAGCCTCCCCTCCACCCCCCATCTCATATGATCCCATGCTCAATATGTATTGAGCATGTTCTTCATTCCCCTTGCACACTCCTCCCTCAGTATTACCCATTTCAACAAATGATATCTTCATTTTCACTCCGTTGCTTAGAACAAAAACCCACCTGTCACACTCGACTTCTCTCTTTCTCTCACACCCACATCCAGCAGCAATTCCTGTCGGCTTTATCTTCTAAACATAAACTGTATTTGACCACTTATCACCTCTACTTCTGTCACTTGAGTCCACATCACCATCTTCTCTGGCCTGGTCAATGGCAGTGGCCTCCTAACTGGTCTCCTTTCTTCCACTCTTGGCTTCTACAAGCCCTCCTCCTCAGGGCAGGCAGAATGCTCCTTTACAACCCCCTGCTCAGATCTCTAGTGGTTTCCCATCTCACTCAGCATAAAATCCAGAATTTTGATTATGGCTTCAAGACCCTAGATGACAGAGCCTTTGATCATCTCTCAGATCACATTTCCTACCTCTTTCTTTTTCACACATTTCCTTCCTTCCTATTCTGCAAACATATCAACCCTCCCAGCCCCCTGGACCTTCCTATTGACTATCTTCTGCACCTTCTGCAAGACTTGCTCTCTCACTTCATTCTGGTCTCTGTTCAGATAGTACCTCTTTAAAGAGGCCTTTTCTGACATGTCTCCCCCAAAATAACTGGCAGCCTACTAATCCCCAAACCTGTAACACTTCCTCACCAGCTTAATTTTACCTCATAACACTTCATGCTACCTGGCTTTACATTCTATTGATTTTGGAGGGGGAGTATGGAGCTTCAACCCAGGGGTGCTTAACCACTGAGCAACATCCCCAGCCCTTTTTTATATTTTATTTAGAGACAGGGTCTCACTGAGTTGCTAAGTGTCTCACTAAGTTGCCGAGGCTGGCTTTGAACTCGTGATCCTCCTGCCTCAGCCTCCCAAGTCACTGGTATTACAGGCATGCGCCACTGCACCTGTCTACATTGTATTAATTTTTACCAATGGGTTTCTTGATTTTCTATCTTAAGCTCAAACTTTATGACTCATCTCACTTCAGGATTTATTGTGACTGAATCCTTACATGATGAGAATTACATGGATTACAGTATAACATTAACTTTAGCATATACAGAGTCAACAAACTATGAAGAGTATGTACTACAGGCTTCTAATTTAAGCTTCTACTTCTCCTTCCTAAGAAGGTGATTAAAAAAAAAAAAAAACTCTCTCATAGGCATGGCCAGGAGATTCGGCTTGAGTCTAGGTTGTATTTTATTCTCCTGCACCATGCCCACCCTTTCCTAGTCTTACCCATGTGCTGTGCCCCACACCAGAATCATACTAAGGCTCTTGCTTTCTCATTTAGCATATTGTCATCAATCTCCTCAAACCAACTGAAAGTTCTTAGTGAGAGTGGTCGTCATGGTTGATTTCTGTAGAGGTTTTCTCCCTCTCTTATCGAACCTTCTCACTGCTTTGTCATGCTATTTTCTCACTCTTCATTTGCTTGCTTTCCCTCTAATTCTTTCTCTTGCTCTCACACATTCGTATACACTTATATTTGAGGGTTCATCTTTGTGCTAGACTCTTTGTAAAGACTTCTTTGGACAGCAAGAGTTAACTTCCAAAATAGAATCCTGATGCTCTCATTGGGCCAAATGAGGATCCCTTCCACATCTGTGTATCATCATCAAACATCTGAGTATACCAGTTCGATTATATTGCACAGTCTTTTAAACACTATCATCTCAGCTAAAACTGTACCATTTATGAATGAGAAAGTATAGGAGAGAGTGAAATACTTTGTCTTTCAGTCTAACAAGGTTCATCATTTTTACTAACCTATATTTTGAGAGCAGGTCAATGTAGTGTTAAGCATATTAGGGAACACAGTAGCAGAAACAAATGTCCCCACAATTAAATTCTCTCCTGATACCAGCTCTAATAAGCTTCCATAAAGAGACAGATATAGATGAGAAGGTCCTATAAAGAAATTGTCATTGTTACTGCAAAGCATATGATATCTAGGAGGCCCTGATCAAGCAGGCTACTCTTTGGGGAGGATTTCTTGCTCTGGACCAGAGATTGGCCAAGTGATCTCCTTCTTCACTTCCCACTCCCACAGAAAGACATTCCTAGATCAGGTAGTGCATCCCCAGGGAACACAGCTCAATTAAAGTCATTAAATGCGAACATCTGTTTGGTACTTCTCTTACTCAGAAGTGGAATGAAGGAAGAAAAGAAAGAGAATAGGAGAGAGTGGACAAAGGAGGACTAATCAGCATTGGACAAAGAAGGCCCTTAGTGGTGAAGGCCAAGGTATAAAGTAGAGGTTGCAAGGTTAGGTAAAGTCAGAGGTTATAAGAAACATTTTGGCCACAAGTGTAACACATCTGTTTCCTGAAACACATCTAGACTACCAAAGACAGATAGTATTGCATAAAAGGGCAGAAAATGTTATCTGTATTTCTTGAACATCTGTACTTTTTGAGTAATTCTTAGCACCATACCCTAATTTTGGAAGCAAATAATTCCTAAAAATGATTGGCAAAACAGGTAAGTCTTTGGAAAAGTCAGCCAGAATTGGCAATAGGACAAATAATTCAAGTATCTGAAATAATTCAGAAATTGTATAAGTGTTACTATATTATTATGTTATTCTGTTTTGAGTGAATTGAATTGTTTATCTTCAACTAATCCTTATCTCTGGGTTTGTTTTCTGTGTGTCTCTTTTTCTTTTCAGCCCCACTGTGTTCTCCTTGCCTCAAAAGAAAACTCAGCACCTGTTAAACTTGGGGGCTTTGGGGTAGCTATTCAATTAGGAGAGTCTGGACTTGTAGCTGGAGGTAAGACCACATTTAAAATTTTTTTCCTTCAAAACCTTGTCACTTTTAGTTTGGTTTAAAACTTTCAAACTAAATACTAGCCCAACCTCAGTGTTTCATACCCCACTCCACCCTACTCTACCCCTGCAAAAGCACCATTAGGTAGTTTTGAATTTAATACCTTAGTAGTCATAACAGACTTTTAGTCCCTTAAGAATAGACTGGGGCTGTGAGGGTACTTCAGTGGTAGAGTGTGTTCTTAGCATGCACATGATGATGGGTTTGATCCCCAGCTCCAAAAAAGAAGAAGGAAGAGGAGGGAGGAAGGAAGGGAGGAAGAGAGAGAAAAACACTTTTCAAAGGAGATGATAATTGAGGCCATAGATGCTTTTAAAGATGAACTGGCCAGGGCTGGGGTTGTGGCTCAGTGGTAGAGCACTTGCCTAGCATGTGTGAGGCCCTGGGTTTGATCCTCAGCACCACATATACATAAATAAAATAAAGGTCCATTGATAACTAAAAATGTTTTTTAAAAAAAAATTGAACTGGCCAAAGTCAAATCTAGAACATGTGGGTTAGGTTTACATTTATGGCTAATTTTTAATTTCATAGTGTTTTCCTTTTTTGGTTCATCAAAGAATCCTGCTCAGGCCATCAACCTATGTTTATGGACAGCAAACAAATGTGAATGCAGACTGATTTTATTATTATTTTTTTAGTTGTAGATGGACACAATACCAATACCTTTATTTATTTATTTTATGTAGTGATAAGACTTGAACCCAGTGCCTCACACATGCTAGGCAAGCACTCTGCCATTGAGCCACAACCCCAGCCCATGATTTTATTATTAACCAAAGTGAAGCATCATTTTAAAAATCTCAATTTTAAGTTGGGAATAAAAAGGAAAAAGGTTAAAAAGAAAGTATACATAGGTGTATGCTAATTTCAGGTTCAAGTATTTGGGGTTTTTTTATTATTCCTTTCAATAGATTCCAACTCAGAATGCTACTTGTTTTCAGTTTTATTTCATAGTGTTGCAGATTGCATAGTTCTCCTTTCTATACACAACCAGTCTTTTTTTTTTTTTTTTTTTGTACCGGGAATTGAACTCACAAGCACTTAACCACTGAGCCACATCCCAGCCCTTTTCTTGTATATATATTTTTTATTAGAGACAAGATCTCACAGAGTTCTTAGGGCCTTGCTAAGTGGCTAAGGCTGGCTTTGAACTTGCAATCCCCCTGCCTTAGCCTCCTGAGCCCCTGGGATTACAGGCGTGCGACACCACACCCAGTACAATCAGTCTTTTAGTCAGGTCTTTCTCTTATCCATCTGAAAGTACTGCCAGGTTTCTCAAAAAGGAAAATGCAAAAGCTCAACAGAACTTTTTAAAACAGTTGTCCTTTAAGACTGCTGATGTTAAATTCAAGTACCTGACAAATAACAAATATCAAAATAATAATCTGGGGCTGGGGTTGTGGCTCAGAGGTAGAGCACTCACCTAGCATGCCTGAGGCACTGGGTTTGATCCTCAGCACCACATAAAAATAAAATAAAGATATTGTGTCCACCTACAACTAAAAAATAAATACTTTTTAAAAAATAATACTAATCCGTTATACAGGATATTTCATGCAACTTAATTGGTTTTAGCTAAATCATCAAACAGTGATAACTTAGACCATCTTCTTAAAAATGAGCCATAGATTATAGTTGTATAGTTGTAGTCCTTAAATCATTTTTTACCACCTTAACTTCTAAAATTAAATTATATATAAGTTTTCCTTTAGTTTTGCATTCTTTTCCAGCTAATCCTTTCCATTAACATGAAAAACTGAAAATTGAGTATAATTTCAAATAATGCTGCTTTCCCCCTGCCAATTTAAAACTTTCTGTCAATGACTAGAAGACTGACGAAAAGGTCAGGGAATAGAGCACAGTTTAATCAGATTCATTGAATCCCAGGTTTTCAGGGAGCTTTAACTTCTCTAGACTTATAACTGATGATGGAATTCTCCCATAATAGTCCCCCCCCAAAAAATTCTGGTTTAATTCCTCCAATGGCAAAGAACTCATTATATCCCAGGACAGTTCATTTTTGGAAAACTCCTTAAGTATTAAAAGTTTGTTCTTGTAGACCTGAAGAGACACTTCTCAGAAGATGATGTACAATCAATCAACAAATACATGAAAAAAAATGTTCATCATCACTAGCAATTAAAGAAATGCAAATCAAAACTACTCTAAGATATCATCTCACTCCAGTCAGAATGGCAGCTATTATACATACAAACAGCAATAAGTGTTGGCGAGGATATGGGGGAAAAGGCACTCTCATAGCTTGCTGGTGGGACTGCAAATTGGTGCAGCCAATAGGGAAAGCAGCATGGAGATTTCTTGGAAAATTGGGAATGGAACCACCATTTGACCCAGCTAGCCCTCTCCTCGGCTTATACCCAAAGGACTTAAAAACAGCATACTACAGGGACACAGCCACATCAATGTTTGTAGTAGCACAATTCACAATAGCTAAACTGTGGAACCAACCTAGATACCCTTTAATAGATGAATGGATAAAAAAATGTGGCATATATACACAATGGAATATTACTCAGCAATAAAAGAGAATAAAATCATGGCATTTGCAGGTAAATGGATGGCATTGGAGAAGGAAAAAAAAACGAATGCCAGATGTTTTCTTTGATATAAGGAGGCTGATTCATAGTGGGATAGGGAGTGGGAACATGGGAGGAATAGATGAACTCTAGATAGGGCAGAGGGGTTGAAGGGGAAGGGAAGGGGCATGGAGTTATTAATGATGGTGGAATGCAATGATCATTATTATCCAAAGTACACATATGAAGACAGGAATTGGTGTGAATATACTATATACAACCAGAGATATGAAAACTTGTGCTCTATATGTATAATAAGAATTGTAATGCACTCCGCTGTCATATATAAATTTTAAAAAAGGAAACTTAAAAAAAATTGTCCTTGTATTAAACAGAAATCTGTCTTTCTGTGACTTCCACACAATGGGTCCAAATTCTAACTTTTAAAGCCACTCTGAGTAATTTTCCTCCTTCCATATCATAGCCATTCAGATACTTAAAGACAGCTACCACATCCCCCTAAGTATTATCCAGTTTACTTCCCTAGATTAATGGAGCCATGCCTTATATAAACTGGTTTCAAATCTCCTCACTGTCCATAAAGGATAGGGCCAGAACTGAATACCCTAACTACAGATTGAATCAGTCCCACATGCACAGAGGCATTGGACTAGCACTTCTTTTTGTTCTGGGTCTTACCTTTCCATCAGGCTCCTTAAATTTCATTAGCGGTTTGGACAACCACATAACACTACTGGCTCATACTGATCTTGCAATCAACTAAAAATCCTAAGTTACTTTTTTAAACAAATATTGCTGGTAAACCAACTCACAATGATAACAAATAATTTGATGATTACTTCCCCAAGGTTAATGAGATGAGATAAAATAAAATGAATTGAGTTCCTTTTATATGTTATATATTGTCCATTTATAATGATTTTGTTTCTGTTGCTCTAAATTTTTATTTTATTTTCTTTTTAGTTGTAGATGGATACAATACCTTTACTTCATTTGTTTATTTTTATGTGGTATGGGGGTTTGAACCCAGTGCCTCATGCATGCTAGGCAAGCACTCTAAATCTTCATCTTGTTACTATTCAGAATGTCATGGGCTCCATATTTTATTGTTCATCTTCATTGAACAGGAAAAGTAGATTCATTAGATTTACCTGGATATTTTCTCCATGGTAATTCTAAAGTCCATGAAGCTTTTCCCTAAATTGTATTTTGAAATCTAATTTTGAATTCCCAGAGTGCCAGTTATTCAACATTTATTATTTTCTATGCTCTAAAACTAAAATACTTTATGACAGTCAAAATATTGTTATTTCTTTTTTGGTGGGATACCACGGATTGAACTCAGGAGCACTTGACCATTGAGCCACATCTCTAACCCTGTTTTGTATTTTATCAGAGACAGGGTCTCACTGAGTTGCTTAGCACCTCGATAAATTGCCGAGGCTGGCTTTGAACTCGTGATCCTCCTGCCTCTGCCTCCTGAGCTGCTGGGATTACAGGTGTGCGCCACTGCGCCCGGCCTAAATATTGTTATTTCTTAACATAGATTTACTTGAAATAACTATTGTAAGCATTACAATATATATTTTTCTTTTTGCAGTGCTGGGGATCAAACCCAAGGCCTTATGCATGCTAGGCAAGTGCTCTACCATGGAGCTACATCCACAGCTGCTTTATAATACTTTTAAAAATACAATATGAGTAGATAAGGGATAAAAGATTTCTCACAGAAGAATCTTTCTTGTGGTTTAAGGTGCTTTTGAAATTTTGCTAGTATTTATCAACTTTGAAATCAAAAGTTACTTTCCTGGGCTAGGGGTATAGCTCAGTGATAGAGCACTTGCCTCTCATGCGTGAGGCATTGTGTTCAATCCTTCACACCCCATAAAAATAAATAAATAAATAAAAATTTTTAAAAATAAAGAAATTGTGTCCATCTACAACTAAAAACTATTTATAACAAAGAGTTACTTTCCTGTCACTTGGAATCTTCGATCACCGAGTCCTCCAAATAGAAAGGGGTCCTCTTCTTTATATGTGCCATAAAGTAAAAACCATTTAAAGAGGGCTGGGGTTGTGGCTCAGCGGTAGAGCCATCACCCAGCATGTGCGAGGTACTGGGTTCGATCCTCAGCACCACATAAAATAAATAAATAAAGGTATTATGTCCAACTACAACTAAGAACTAAATTTTTAAAAAAAAAATCTATTTAAATATATTTACGCTTCCCCTATCTGAAACTCAGCTGTTTGGAGAACTCACATATCCAGAATGCAATTAGGAACCTAGAAACTAATTATAATAGCAGCAAAACTGTTCCTACCCTTAAAACCCATTCATGGTCCTCTCAATTGAGCATCTAAAGACCTTCTCTGAGGCTGACCTACTCCCATTTTTCATAAAGTTGTATAGATTTGTGTTCCTAATTTACACCAGCCATTTCCTCTCGTTGGAATGTCTTTTGTTATTTTATCTATCTGGTTAATTCCTACTATTGTTGAAGTCTGCACTAACAATTGTCTCCTCTTAAAAGTAGGCTGATCTTAAACCATCTGAGTTAGATAGTCCTATTCCTTCCTTTCCATATTACTAGAACCATGTGGGCTCCATCATCTCCGCATTGCACTTGATGCAGGGACTTGTAATTGTAGCAAAGACTCAGATTTGTAAGGGGTAGGAGAACCAAGGTTTATCCCCTATGTTTCCACAGTGCCTACCATGGTGTCGGAGACCTAGCAACGCCTGAGAAATTGCTATTAAATAAAAGAATCTTATTGCTAGTGAGTTTCCTGTTAATAGCAGATTATACACAACAAACTAGGAGAAGCTGGAACTGGAATAATCATAGCAAGAAAAAAAAAATTAAGAAAGCCTGACAGAAAAAAAAAATACAGTAAGCAAACCTCAAAACTTGGTAAACACAGCAGCCTTTTAATAATCAATGAAATCAACCTTTACAAACCTTTGAAGTTTCTGAGGGTGCTCTCTGTTCTACAGTAGAGATCTTTAATTAACATCCACAGTGACAACTCTGCAACATCCTAGGTAAAAGAGGTCAGGAAATTGTAGGAAATAGCCATACAAAAATTATTAAAGTAGAAAGCATTATGTGCATAAAGGTTCTAATCCAAAAGTATTAAAATGTAGCTATTTAGAACCTCAAGATTCTAGGTAGAAGGTTTAATTATATTATCAAAGTATAACATTTAAATGTACATCTGAAGTATTTCATCAACAATGACATTTAATTTGGTTTGGTAATTGGTTTCCTGTTCTTAGAATTTTGTGGTCTAAGTCATAAAGTCAAGTGGTCACAACGAAAGAAAATTAGTAACAAGGAGTTTGGGGAAGTAGTGTATAATAAAGGTTAACTCCAGCCCTTTTCACATTCTGCCAATGTACTTGAGACAAAAGAAACCTTTCTGTATATTCTTTCCATCATAATGTTCCCATGATCATCTAAGAGCAAATTCTTAAACCCAAAGATACATAACATCTTCCCCAAGAATGTCCCTAGAATTGGGTAGCCTTCAATCCAGCTAGTTGGAGAAAACCTCCTCAGGATGGTTGGGACTGGCCATGGTGGCTCTGATTATTCCCAGAATGAAGTCCCAGTTTTGAGTTGCTTGACCCTTTCTTGTATGGGAAATAGCAGGAATCAAGTTGAATTCCAGGGCCTCATCTGAACCCTTAGCTGGTACCTAACTGTTGTCCTGGTACCAGTATACCAAATGGTACCCTGGGCTCTTTCCCTGCTTCTCCTTGCTCCTGCCAGCTCCTGTCCATCAAAACAAGGCTCATATCCAGTGGCCCCTCCCTGTCCAGGATGCTAATGAAGTAGGAGGCTTAACTCTCATTGCTTTAGCTTATTTATGTTACTCAAGGAAGCAAAATGGGATAATCCAGAAATAAAAATATTAATTTAGCCAGGTCTTTGTAGATTTCACTTATCCATTATACATTTTAAATGAGCACATTTTCACAAATTGAACCCTAAGCATAACCTCTTTTATTTTGTGGGGAGGAAGGGGACCCATAGTGATCTTCAACAAAGGAATATCCCCAGTATGCAAACTAAGAGCTGTATTATCCTTCTCTGTCCCAACTGAGTTCAATAACCACTAACAGGCCTTGCGCTTCAGCTGGACCAGAAGATTTCTTAAGTTCTTTCAAAGCTCTGAACCACAGTTCTGGTCTGTAGATAAAGTACTGGTGCAAATTTCAAAGTAAAAATTATATTGGACTCAGTATGATAAGTCAGAGACTGGCAGAGCGAGGAAGGTGAGTGGGCTTGTAAACATCTAGAATGAGTGCCAAGTCTAGAAGGCAGTGCCCCATCCTATGGTAATCTCACTACAGGGTACAAGCCTTTTATTTCACAGAAGAAAAGCCTTCCTTTGGAATACTGAGTTAAAGATGGCTGTTCATGTGCAAACAACTGGTATCACATTCCTTCCAGAAAGCTAATTTTTGATAGAGAGGGGGAAAGAAAGGAAAACTCATTGAAGAAGATGAAGGTCAAAGAGGAGCTAATCGGTGGAACTTCATTAGTTTTGCTTCGATGTGTGTCCACATATTTGCTGTTGTTTCTCTTCAAATCTTAATGTTAGAGAGCCAGGAGTAGTGGCATGTGCTTGTAATCCCTGTGGTTCCAGAGGCTGAGGCAGGAGGATCACAAGTTCAAAGCTTGCCTCAGCAACTTAGCAAGACCCTGTCTCTAAATAAAATATAAAAGAGGGCTGGGATTGTGGTTCAGTGGTTAATTGTCCCTGGTTCAATCCTCGGTACCATAAAAAGAAAAATCTTAATGTAAGCAAGAAACTAAAACTAGTTCCTTTTCTAACAAAGTACCACTAACCATTGTTAATTGCTACAATCAAATGAACAGGATTGCAGATTGAAATTCATATTCCAAATAAAAGTTCTCAGCATTAGGTTTTCTTGGGGAATTTCCATTTGGCAGTCAAAAGTAATCTTATTTTTAAAATATTTTTTAGCTGTAGTTGGACACAATACCTTTATTTATTTATCTTTATGTGGTGCTGAGGATCGAACCCAGTGCCTCAACCATGCTAGGCGAGTGCTCTACCACTGAGCCACAACCCCAGCCCCCAAAAGTAAACTTTTTGCCACAGATGTTTTTTTCTTCATTCCTGAGCTCTCCTCTCCCTGCCTCTGCCTTCTGCCCAAGGCAGGCTTCTGGGCTCTTTCCTGGGCAGGAATAAACTGCCTGTAGACTCTTCCACCTACCTCTGCTCCAAATTAAAAATTTAAACCTCTTCATGAATCAATAAATAGCATTAATTTCTACTATATAGCATGCAGAATTCAAGAAGGACTCCCAGGGGCCTCTCTTGGACTCAGTGTTTTCAAGAGGTGATTAGAGAAATCATTCTCCCCACTCCCACCCCCCACCGTGAGCTTCATTTCCTGGGAACAGGTGATGAGAGGATATTTCTCTTGGCAGACTTTTCATTCTGATTGTGATCATTCTATTATTATTTTTGGTTTTCATATGGAAAGCCCTGATTTTATATAAATCGTTTTCTTTCATGTTGTTGTTGTTTTCAATGTAGGGCGCGTCGGGACGCCTCACTTTATGGCCCCAGAAGTAGTCAAAAGAGAGCCTTATGGAAAGCCTGTGGACGTGTGGGGGTGCGGCGTGATCCTTTTCATCCTGCTCAGTGGTTGTTTGCCTTTTTACGGAACCAAGGAAAGATTGTTTGAAGGCATCATTAAAGGAAAATATAAGGTAATGTCTTATGACCATTTAATTTTTCCACTGAGATTACATTATCCTGAAAAGTTTGTTTGGTGCTGGGTCCGGTAGCACATACCATAAGCCTGGCAACTGAGAAAGCAGAGGAAAGTGGATCACAAATTCAAGGCCAGCCTCTGCAATTGAGTGAGACCCTGCCTCAAAATAAGAACTAAAAAGGACTGGGTATGCAGCTTAGTGGAAGAGCATCCATGGGCTCAATCCCCAATCCCCCCCCCCCAAAAAAATCAAGCATTTTGAAGTTACTGTCAGCCACTAGATTTTCTTTACTAATCTAAGTTTTTAAAAAAAAAAAACTTATGTGGCCCTTCTTTCTGTAGATGAGAAAAGGGGCTTCATATTTAAAGGTTTTTGCTTAATTTGTAAAATTGAAATGGAAATTTTATTCAGGTACTTTTAATCAGTCCTTATCTTAATTTTAAATGTATGTCAGCACAGCCCAAAAAATGTACCATTTAGGCCAAGCATGGTAGTGCACACCTGTAATCCCAGTGACTTGGGAGCCTGAGGCAGGAGGATCAAAAGTTCAAGGCCAGCCTCAGCAACTAAGTGAGGCCCTAAGCAACTTAGTGAAATCCGTGTCAAAATAAAAATAAATAAAAAGGACTGGGGATGTGGCTCAGTGGTAAATCCCCTCTGGATTCAGTCCCCAGTACCCAAAAAAAAAAAAAAAAGTACCAATTTCATTCTAGGATAAACTTGAAATTCCAACATCACAGCTATGCTCCATAACACAATCTAGAGGCATTTTGATGTGACTTAAACATTGATATTCTTTGGCTGCTGTGTGTTCACAGACTATCACTGACTTGAGATTTAGTGAATTATTACTTTCATTATTTAAAAAAAATTCAAAGTTATTACTGACATCATGAATGGCTATATAAGAAGGAGCTAAGGACTTCTTGGAAATAAATAAACTGAAGATGAATTTCACTACCCCAGCTCTTCTACTTGTTTGCCTATAACACTACATCTAGCCATAAGAGACTAGGCGTAGGAAGCATGGGGGAGTACTGTCTGTAGTTCAGGGAACTTTGTGTTGGAGAGACTCTCCTCTCGTTGTTATGGAAACTATACCTTCTCTTCAACGGAATCACTGTTTCATTTTTGGCCGTGCCTGGTAAAATAAAACAGGGTTATGAGACCCCCCCCTAAAGTTTTCTTTTCAGTTCCTCAGTAATTTAGAATTGTTTTGTAGGTCGTGGGGGGAAAAAAGAAAAAGATATAGAAGTTTCAGATTTGCAGTCTTATCCTTTTAAGCCCCAGCTAAAGCTAGTGGAGGTGAGAATGATCTAGACTTTTGGTTGTTTGCCCTGTACACCATCCACTCATAAGTACATACATATTTGTCTTGTTTTATTTGGTGTAAGATCTCTGCCAAAATTCTGCTACAGAGAAAAGTGATTGTGGATATATACTTTTCTGCTTGGAGTCAGTTAGCCAGGGAATAAAATTGGTACTTTGGAAGAAACTAAATGTCTCAGGAAATTGCTTGTAACTAATCATCCCCTTCCAATCCCTGGAAATTGTGAGTGGCTATCAGGAAAGCACAGCCTGGGCTTTCTGGTTGAATTTTGACAAATCAAATCAAGTCACACAACCACATAATAATAATGATAGCAATAGTGGTAGCTGACTGAGACATAACATTTGGTATGTACCAAAACTGCTCTAAGCACTTATATTAACTCATTTAATACTCTCAGCAATTTATGACGTGGGTACCATATAATAAAATCTCCCACCTGCCTTTTTGAGTTATAAGCACTTGCTAATAATAGAATAGAATTCTTCCTTTGTGTTTGTTCAGTTACTAACTTCCTGGTTTCCAAGGCAATGTGTTTCATTCCGACAGTGTCTGGTATTTGATTTTGTCTATTTTTAAAACATTGAATAGTTATTTTTATTTCTTGGTAAGAAACTTGGACTGTTCAAAATGTCCAAAAAGTAAATTATTAAAATTTCCCTATTCCTAGGGAATAGTAAAAGTATTAGCATAAGTCAGATAGATAACAGCAGCAGCTATATCATAATTTCTGTACCTGGGATTTGAAGCTTTGAGGTTAATAGCTTGTTTACTGTTTTATTTGGCTAATCTCACATCTCAATATCTTCATGGCTTTCCTTACAAGGGCCCAGGTTTTTTTAGCAGCTTAATTCGAAGTATAGATCCATCTTTGCTACCTATGATGAAACTCGTGGGTCTTTTTTAAAAAGTATACAGTGATATGATTCTCTGAGTAATTTATTATGGAAAATTTCAAACAAAACAATGGATGGGGGAGTACTGTTGACCATATTATATTGTTGTATTGTGTACATGTATGAATATGTAACAACAAATCCCACTACTATGTATAGTTATAATACACTAATAAAAATATGGAAAAATAGTGTAGAACCCCAGTTTCAATAGTTAACATATAACCAATGTTGTTTTACCTGTATTCAACATACTACTAGATTATTTTATTTTATTCATTTTTAACTGGTACCAGGAATTGAACCCAGGGGAGCTTAACAACTGAACCACATTTCCAGCCCTTTTTATGTTTTATTTTGAGACACAGTCTTGCTAAGTTGCTGAGGCTGGCCTTGAAATTGTGATCCTCCTGCTTCAGCCTCCCAAGTTGCTAGGATTACAGGCATGCACCACCATGAACAGCCTACTAGATTATTTTAAAACAGATCTCAAAAAACAAAATTTATCACCCTGGTGGTTCTTAACAAAAGAATTTTTAACAAAATCCTTGTTTCTTGATGGGTATTTTCAAGAATAGTTCCATGACATATTTTAAATGTAGTATATTTAAATTATAAACTGCTACTGCTCTTAAGTGATTATTTTAATAGTACTGGGATTGGACCCAGGGGCTTGCTACCACTGAGCCTCACCCCCAGCCCTTTTATTTTTATTTTTATTCTTATTGATTTTTAGACAAGGTCTTGCTAAGTTGCTGAGGCTGGCCTACAACTGGTGATCCTCCTACCTCAGCTTCCTGAGTGGCTGGGATTACAGGCATGTGCTACCACACTAGCGCTTAAGTGATTTTAATTTGACTTTTTATTCTTATTTGCTGATTTACTTGATCTTTTAAAGTAGATGTCAGAGACTACTATTTAATTGAGATATGTGCTAACATTTAACCTCAATTAACTTTTTTATACAGGAAAAAAGTAATATTTCCCTAACTCTATATAAAAGATACAGTGTCATCTTATACCATGGTCACAGGTAGCCAATTGGTATCTACACAGCAATATTCTAAGCTGCTATGGCTATGGTATTTAAAAACTCAAGTTCAGAAATCTTACCACCTCTTTCAGATGATTTCTCTATCCCTTTGCTAGAAAAACAAAATCATTCAGACCGTAAAGAGTACAGCAGCTCCAGGATAGGGAAGAGAGAGCAAGGCCATCTAAGACCTGTCTAGTTACTCACTTCCTTATTACAAACTGGTCATTTGATGACAATGTCAATAAGATGACAACTTTTAAACCGTCTCATGACATTCATCTTCATGGGATTTGACAAACAAAAGGGACTACTGTTTGGAATTCTGCCTGTTACCAAAAGAAAATGGAACACCTTCTAATTTTAAGAGTTGTCCTTAACATGGAATCACTTTCCCCTCCACATCTACATCTACAAGCACAAAGCCTCACCTTAGCCAGAACTAAGTGGCTTTGCTAGCTGTTAGCTAAATTGGAATGATTCACTTGTAACTGTGATGCGAATACTGTGATTTCATTTGGCCTAAAATTGTTGTGGAGATTATGCTCCATCTTTCTCCCTTAGATGGTCCCATGGGTCTCTACTGGTGAAACCCAAGGGCCTTGGGCTGTGGGTAAAGCTCAGTGGGAGAGCACTTGCCTACCCAGACATGGGGCCTTGGGTTCCATCCCCAGTGCACACACTCAAGAAAAAAGCTGTGACATTGCTTGATGCCCCTAGTACCAGGCAGCTCCCGTAAGCTCACCTAATTAAGCAGCTTCCTGATGCTGAAAATCGGGAATGAGACTCTGTTCCATCTCTACCTCCTGTCTGTACTCTCTTCCCAGACTCAAGCCCTGATTTCTGGCCTCAGACATAGCCCCTTTCCCAGGTACCTTCCAATATTTTCCTCACAGACCCACAGCTTTTCTCAGAAGTCTTTTGAATAACTCATAATTCTTTTTATTTGATTTTAGTCAAATTACCATGTGGCTTAATTCTTTTTATTTGATTTTAGTCAAATTACCATGTGGCTTCATTTTCTTATCTCTAAGAGACAAACTTCACTGAGGACAACATACAGGTGAATTGGTTATTTTGTAGGGCAATGATAATGGTATATTTCCCCCTATAAACTGAAATTGACATACTCTGACCAAAATATCCTATGAATAATTTTTCCTAGCTTCACAATTGCTGCTGATCCCCAGTTTTAAAAACATGTTTTGAAATGTTTCTTCAGGCACAGTGATATATGTGGCTCAGGAGACTGAAGAAAAAGGATTACGATTTCAAACCCAGCCTCAGCAATTTAGCAAGGCCCTAAGCAACTTAGCGGGATTATGTCTCAAAATAAAAAATCAAAAGGGCGAGGGGGATGTAGATCAGTGATTACACACTCCTGGATTCAATCTCCAGTACTCAAATAAAGTATTTCTTTAAATCTTAATTTTTTATTTTAGTGCTTTTGGGATCAAGTTATTCTATCTAGACTCTTTAGCTGAGGATCTAAAGGTAGAAACCGGTTAGCATTCTATCCTTTGATTATTGAAAATATTATCATAACAACAAGAACATGTATGGAATATTTACCGATGCAAATTCTCATATAGTGAACAATAACACGAACAAAGAATTACATTTAAAATAAGCTGTTTAATGCATTTAATTGCATTAAAAATAAGCCTTTTAAAATGAGATTTCTGTTCTTTGAGAATTTTTTATTTACACTGAAGCAATATAAGAATATTAAATAAGAGTAAATGTTAACTTCTCACTGAAGATAACTATGTAGTCATCCTTTTCTCCTCCCCAGATGAATCCTCGGCAGTGGAGCCATATCTCTGAAAGTGCCAAAGACCTAGTACGTCGCATGCTGATGCTGGATCCAGCTGAAAGAATTACCGTTTATGAAGCACTGAATCACCCATGGCTTAAGGTATAGGAGCTCACAGGTCACCGCTCACACTGTTTGAACACTTCCAATGACAGCAGTGTATTGATCTAGAAGGTGGCCCTTTTTTTACCTTTTCTTCTTTCTGAGATTCTCCCATTTCTTTTCTTCCTCTTGTTGGACATTCCTGTGCATCTTCTGTGAACAATCTAGTGGCATTCAGCTAGTATACAGAGAATACAAAAGCAGATGAAGATGAAATATATGAGGAAAGAAGGCCTAGTTTCCCTCTGCCAACACATGTTCCAAGAGATGTAACATGAACGACTGAAATTACAATAGATTACAACAAATTAATCATCCTTTTTTTTTTGATAGTGGGATTGAACTCCTTTATTTCAGGTGTGATATGTTCTTTACAACTTTAGCTACTTATCCATAGAAACTAGATATGAATTTATTTACTGTCTTAGGAAAGAGGCCCATTTTAAAAATCCTTCCCATATCCCATCTTCCAATGAGTATTAAGAAAAATTATAAACATCAATGAAACAGTACTGTTTGATTGAAACATTACCCAGTTCAAGCTAGGTGTGATAGCTCATGACTGTAATTCCAGCAGCTCAGGAGGCTGAGGAAGGAAGATTACGAGTTCAAAGCCAGCCTCAGCAACTTAGCAAGGCCCTAAGTAATTTAGCAAGACCCTGTCTCAAAAATAAAACATAAAAAGGGGTTGGGGATGTGGTTCAATGGTAAAGTGCCCCTAGATTCAGTCCCTAGTACCACAAAACAAACAAAAAGCATTATACAATTTAGTAATTCCAGGAAATCCTCACTTTATAGATAGGAAAATGAATGTTCAGAGAAGTTAAGAGACTTGTCCCTTGCCCTCTCCCCCACAAAAGAATCTTACCTCAAGTCTCAGAAGTTGTCATTAGTGAGGCCAGGATTTTAATTCAGCTTACCAAGACCCTATCGCTTGTATAGATCATGTCCCTTTTACCTACATGATGACATTGCTCCAACAACTTTCCCCTTTCCTTCATCATCAGTTTTCTGTCTCTTTTGGACATAGCATCCTATAATTTACTTTTATTTTTTACATTTACACACATGTGCCTTCTCTTGATCCTGCAGCCCCCTCTAGCTTCTGCCCGTATTTTCTGATTCCCTTTCAAAACCCTTAGAAAGAGTTGTCTGTAATTACATCTTCCAATTTCTCTCGTCCCTTCCTCTGGAACTGATACTAGTCAAGGTCATAATCCTACCAATTACATTAAGAAAGCTCTTGTTGGGCTGGGACTGAGGGCCCGGTGGCAGGGCACTTGCCTAGCATGTGTGAGGCCCCGGGTGTCATCCCAGCATTGCAAAAAAAAAAATGAAACAAAAAACAAACAAAAAAATTTCGCAGCTCTTATCAAGTCACCACTGACCTTTATATTACTAAATTTGGTAGTCAAATTCCAGAACTTGTCCTTCTTGGCCTATGAGCAACATTTTTTTTTTTTTTGTACCAGGAATTGAACCCAGGGGTGCTTAACCACTGAGCCACATCCCCAGCCCTTTTTATTTTTTATTTTAAGACAGAATCTTGCTAAGTTGCTTAGAGCCTTGCTAAATTGCTGAGATGGGCTTTGACCTCCACCCTGCCAAGCTGCTGGGATTACAGGCGTGTGCCACAGGCCTGGCCTATCAGCATTCTTCTGAAGCTCTTATCTTCCCTTGGCTTCTAGGCTACCTTTTCTCCTGGTTTGTCTTCTGCTACCCTGGCTAATCTTCCTCAGTACTTACTGATTTGTCCTTGTGTCCCCTAAACCCCCTCTTCACAGTGGAGTGCCACTGGCCTCTGTCCTTGCTTCTCCTTTTTTTTTCAATCCATACTCAGTCGCTTGACTAGACTCATCCAGTCTGACTGGCCTTAAATGCTATCTGTACACTGATGTCTCCTGAATCCTGGCCTCTCCCCTGAAGTATTCTTTCTTAATCTGCTCTACAGCTTGACTTCCTAATACCTTTCTGATTTCACCCTTTCCTGCTCTCTCTTCTCTCACTCAGTTCTATAATGTTGGCCTCCTTGCTAATTCTCAGACCACAGGTACATTCTTGCCTTAGTGCCCTGTTTTAACCATGTCCTTTCTCTAGAGCATTCTGCCCCTGTATGTCTTCATGGCTGTTTCTTCACCATCTTCAGATCTTTGCTTAGATACCAGCTTCTTATTAGAAACTTCTCTGAACACTATTTAAAATGTGGGAGAAGGAATGCCCCTTGCCTCCAAAATTCCCTATTTTCCTTTCCTGACTTATTTTTGTCTATAGCAATAGTCTCCATAAGATGTACTTAAATCTTACTTGTTGGTTAATTGTCCTAGCTGCACAAGGGTAGGAATTTTCAACTCTGGTTCACTTATGTATAAACCTGGAAAATATCTGGCACATAGTATGTGATTGATAAATACTTATGATTTAATGACTGGCTGGATGTTCATTATATTATACCATGCTTCTTCCCCAGAACTTGTGTAAAACAATAAAGTAACATAAAATATAGATTAATAATGTATCTTAGTGATATGGAATAATATTAATTGAAAAATTCAGGGTGTCCAATGACTCCAGATTGTCTTTAAGAATATAACTTCTCATATATTCATTCAACATTCTGATATTCAGTACTAATTATTCCCAGTTTTTCCATGAAAACAATGGTAAACAGTTCTTAGATACTTTTTAATGTTTTTTTTCCCTCCCAGATATGAAAATGAACAGTTTAGACAGGATTCCTATTTCTCCATTGTTTTTCTCTAATGGGGATATTTTGTTCATTAGAAGCTAGTCAAAATACCAAATAGCAATGAAAATGGCAGCCACTTTAGTCATTTTTTAAATCCTTTAGAAAATGTTTTAGCATTATATACTATATATGTTCACAGTAACTTTCATTATCAAAGCTTTCTTGGCCAACAACATTTGTTTTTGGAAACACTTGCCCCTGCCAACAATGATAGTTCTTATTCTAAGTAAACTGAGCTTAATACATTATAGATTTCTAGCACCAGAATGAAAAAGACAAGAAGTGTCATTATCTTAAACAAGAAGGTCCAGAAGGCTATTTGAGCTCAGTGTTGTGAGCTGTATCTGAAATACAGATGAACTTCACTGGTTATGTGTCCTCTGAAGAATTCAATGAGATTCAATGAGGTCATCTAGCTGGTGGGAGTGGTTTTGGTCACCTTTCAATACTTGTCCATGTGTATCTGTAACTCATTTCAGTGAATGTAAGTGGTGTTGATTTAGAATTCTAGGCTAATGTTTAAACAGTGACTTAATTATGAAGAAGTCCTGAATAACTGCAAAGTGAAGAAATAAGAAGATGAAAACTCTCAAAATGAAGAGTACCCAGTCATAACACCCTCGCTTTGCATCAAAAAAAGAAAAAGACAATTAATTCTTTGATAAAACAAACCCAAAGAAGGCTTATTTAATTAGTTCATGTCAAAAAAGAATTTGAGATTAGACCAAGTAATATATGAATGTCTTATAATTGTTCAAATATACCTGTTTAACACCTTTATCTATCCAAATTAATGAGACTTGCTCATTCCAAAAAAAAAAAAAAAGGAGGCCAATGGAGATTATACTTTCCTCACAGATGGTTGAATTCTTTTTACACATTTTGTATATATAGGCTATAAAGTGTATTGGCTAATAAAGGGTATTTATATCAGGCTTATTGATTTGAATTTTGGAAAAATCAATCAACACACCCATTAAATATGTATTCCGCCTCTAGTGTGCCCAAAGGACTATGAACTATGTACTTTATATTAAAGTACAGGAAACATTGCTATGGAAATTTTCTGAATTCATATCACATTATTAGTGTCAGGAGGGATTTTAATCCAGAAAAAATATTATATTTACTCTTGCCTCATTTGGGCTTTTGGTGTTGCTTGTTTTCTGGTAAGAGATACCTTAATAAACTCTGAAAAATCTTGTGGGTTTTATCTACTTAGAAAATATCAGAATTCATAATTAAAACATAATTTTATTTTTTGGACTTTGTCCTTATCTCTTTGTCCACTTCACATTAGTGAATGCTGAATGTAAAGGAGACTTACTAGACATAGAATTCATGGTCAGAAATTCAGTAAACTTCCCAATCTGCTAGAGAGAAGAACACAAAGCCAGGCTGTAAAATAGATTTTCTTTCTTTATTTTTATTTTTCTTTTCTTTTTTTTTCCCATTACTAAAGATTGAACCCAGGGGTGCTATACCACTGAGCTACATCCCCAGTTTTTTATTTTTCATTTTGAGACAGGGTCTCACTAAATTTTCCAGATTGGCTTTGAACTTGTGCCCCTCCTGCTTCAGCCTTCTGAATCTCTGGGATTGCAAGGAATGCACTATGCCCCGCTACATTTTCATAGTAGTAATAGAATCTAAAGACACAGAGAAGATTCTGTTCTTCAGGGACAGCCATTCTCAGTGGCCTTCTCCTGAGGATCATTTTGTCTGCCCTCTTCCTACTTGGAGTTCTCAAGTTGAAAGCTGCTCTCACAGCCAGGCTCATATGTGTTAGGAGGCAAAAAATATTCTGACACTGTCATCACAGGATTGTCCCCTTGTATCCTGGTATCCCTACCCAGTCTGCCTTCTTTTCTCCAATTTTCAAAGCATTCCATTAGTTGCTTTATATATCATAGCAGGAGCTTTTAGTATAATTGGTAGAGGTGAAATATGCTTGTTCTGTCTAGTCATTTTTGCACTTTACTTTTGAATCAATTTCCTTATCAACAACTCTGATTCCAACAGTACACTCTAAGTGTTCATTCTGTTGAATGTGAAATATTTTTAAAATCAGCTCCATGGACTGGGAGTGTAGCTCAGTAGTACAACACTTACTATCACGTGTGAAGTCCTGGGTTTCATCTCCAGCACTGGAGGTCAGGGAGGATCAACTGAAGTACCCATTTGATGCTCTAGAATCCAGACATGTCATGCATCTTTCAGCTTGCTTGCCCCCATTTTCTCAATTCAGTTGGTATCAGACTTCCAGTTGCTCACATTAAAAATCTTTGTGTGATGGTACTATTGACTTTTCTCTTTCTCTCACACCTCACATCCAATCTATCAGAAAATTCAATTCTCTCTACCTGCAAACTATATACAGAATTAAGATCTTCTGTTATTTGAAAGATGCTATAAAAAAATGAAAAACCAAACCACAGAGTAAATATTTGAAAATTATATATCTAATAAAGGGCTGATATTTAGAATATGTAAAGAATTCTCAAACCTCAGTAAGAAGAAAACATACAACACAATTCAAAATGGGAGACAATTTCAACAGACACTTCAACAAAGAAGACATACAGATGGTAGATAAGCACAGACAAAAATGTTCAGCATTATTAGTCATTAGGGAAATAGGAATTAATGCCACAATGAGATACCTGCACACATGTGTTAGAATGACTAAAATTTAAAAAATACCAAATGTTGGCAAGGATGTTGAACAACTGGAACTCATGCAGTGCTAGTGGGAATATAGAATGGTACAGCCACTTTGGGAAACAGTTTGATAGCTTCTTAAAGAGCTAAATATATTCCTATCATATGGCCCAGCCATTCTACTCCTTATTATTTACCTAAAAGAAATGGCATATTTATACAAAGACTTGTATATGGATGTTTATAAGAAGCTTTATATGTAATACTCAAAAATTGAAAACAACCCAGGGCCCAACAATAGATGAAAGGATAAATTATGGTACATCTGTACAATGGAATACCACTCAGCAATAAAATGGAATGAATTGTTGATATAAACAATGTAGATAAATTCAGAATTATTATGCTGAGTAAGGCAATAATGAGCATATACTGTATGATTCTACTTATATAAAGTTCTAGGAAAAGCAAACTATAGTGATAGAAAATAAATTGGTGGTTTTCTGAGAGGGAGGGAGGATTGCAAGGAGTTATGAGCAAAATTTACATATATGTTGTAGGTGAACACAATACCTTAATTTTATTTTTATGTGATGCTGAGTATCGACTCCAATGCCTCACAACCTCAGCCCATGAGCAAACTTTTGAGACTGGTGGATATATTCATTGTCTTGATTGTAGTGATGACTTTATGGTTGTAGACATATGTCACAAATTATCAAATGATACATCATCCATCAGGTAGTGAAGGAGATCCCGTATGGGGAAAATGGTTGAATTAGATGACCTTAAAAACTTTTTCCTGGTTGAAAGATTTTGTTGTATTTATCTATTGATCTATCTGTCTGTCTATCTATCTATTATTTATTTTTTGTACCAGGGATTGAACCCAGAGGTGCTTAGCCATTGAGCCACATACCCAGCCCTTTTTTATATTTTATTTAGAGACAGGGTGTCACTGAGTTGCTTAGGGCCTTGCTAAATTGCAGAGGTTGGCTTTGAACTCACAATCCTCCTTCCTCAGCCTCCCAAGCTGCTTGGATTACAGGTGTGCACAACCATGCCCAATGATTTTGTGGTTTTTATACTTCAGTTATTTCTGACCCTAAATCAGTTGTAAGGCTAATTTTTCAAATGCTCATTTTACCTGACAAAACTCACACCAAATGTAACTTCATACATTCATAATCATTATGACTATTTTAGTTACATACCTGAAAATTAAAGTCTTTTATTATTTTAGTCCTTTATTATTGTTAAAATAAAATATTGCTTTATTATCCATTTTAACCCTCATATCCCTCATTTCAGAGTATTTGTCAATATCATGGAATAAAGTCTCCAATCTCCTAGGATTCAATCTGAGCTTTACATTTAAGAATCTGGACTTTATCATTTGTTATATATTGTTTCTTCAGTCTTCAAAATGGTTATGTATGTTCATTATCTTTCTTCTTTTATAGGAGCGAGATCGTTATGCCTACAAGATTCATCTTCCAGAAACAGTAGAACAACTGAGGAAATTCAATGCACGGAGGAAACTTAAGGTAAGTTAAATCAGAAATGAGCCAAGCAGATAACGGTAGATGACAATCTTCTTAACAATCTTTTCATTCTGTTTTGTTGCCCTTCAGTGTATTCTAGTGTTGGCTATTGTTTTTGTTAAAGCTAAATTCTCATTTCCAAAAATTACCACCATTTCAACAATATTTTGGTTTTTAAAATCCATTAATATCTCAGTATGAATCTAAATAAACAAATTTTAATAACTAGAAGATACATTTTATTTCAGATGTTTCCCCTTAAAATTCATTGCAGAGATATAGTTAATATTATCATACATTATTATTAAATATTAATCTAGGATGCTTTTTCAAACTTAAATATTTTGACAGAAAATGTGAATTTAGTTCAATGGAAATAACACTGAATTAACATTCAATCTAGGATTGAATCCCCATCACAAAGCAATAAATAAAATCCCTTGATCTACTAGGAAATATTTTCAGGTCACTTTTCTTACCTTTCTTCCTTTATTTTTTCCTAGATATCTTTCTCTCTCTTGCCTCTCTCCCTATCCTTTACCCTAATAATAATAATAATAATAATAATAATAATAATAATAATAATAATTACCCCACATGGGGAGACCACTTAACTTCAAAAGGTTCTGAAAAGACCCAACATTAAATAGTGGAGTCTTTCCAGCATTAGAAGAAAATTATATGGAACAATACTATGCTGCCCCATTCCACCCTAGGGTAATAGGGAAAACTATTATATTATGGCATTGAAATTCATTTATATTTGACCTACTTTTGATATAGAAAATGTTAACTCTGCTCTTTAAGTGGCTGATTGTTTAGTAGTCCTCTTCATTCATGTGACTCCTACCAACTATCAAACCTTTCTTCTGAAGTACTTTCAGATGCATCATAAATTGTAATAGTATTTTTAATCTGTTATTACTCAACTCCTAACATTTATGAATGATTTTATATAACTCCAAATTTTTAAGAACATTTATATTAATTTTGGGAAAACTTATCAATCTACGGTATTATACTGTAAAGCTGAAATGTTCAACATGGTATCCGATAGCTACATGCAGCTATTTAAATTTAAATTAATTGAAATTAAATGAAATTCAAGGGTCAGTTCCCTATTCACACAAGCACATTTCAAGTGCTCAACAACCACATATGGATGGTGACTATATTTTGGACCGCACAGATATATAACATTCCTATGATTGCAAAAGGTGCCATTGAATGGTGGTGCCATAGAACAAGGGAAATTTTAACATATCATTGTTGATGAGTATTCCCATTTAAGCTTTTCTCCTAGTTGTTTTTATATTCAAGAGTTTAAACTGATTCTTCTCTATTTGCTTTTTAAAAACCTTTGGCCAAAGTGATTTTTTTAAATACTTTTTTAGTTGTAGATGGACACAATATATTTATTTATTTATTTTTATGTGGTGCTGAGGATCAAACCCAGCACCTCACCCATGCAAGGCAAGTGCTCTACCACTGAGCCACAACCCAGCTACAAAGTAATTATACCATTTTTGAGATGGTACCCAAACAAGTTTCCCAAGACTATTTTTTCCCTTTGATCTGATATCTACCTGAACCATCAACCTACAAAAGAATGAAAAGTCTTATCATTCCTAATGAAATTTGCTCAGCTATATTTGAAGTTAATTTTCTTCTCAAAGAAACTATTCATTGTATGTCTTTCTTGACTCTGCCCTAAGTCTTTTAAACTCTTAACGTGGCTTTGGCCTCATGTGATGTAACACTACATAGGGCTGAACCTGCCATTGCCTAGGTACAGATATTTCACCATCACAAGAGACATTCTGTTCTTCTCCCAGTGCCACAAAATCAGACTTAGGCCTAAAATAGCCAAAGTGGTGACTAAGATTCATTTGGACAGGGCCAAGCTGTCACAGCAGAGAGGGGTCATGTGGATTTACCACATCCCTTTGCAGGGCTATTTAAAGTTTTAAGACCCGCCAAACAACCTAGAATTAAGAACATCAGCAATACTGATGGGGTCAATACTGAATTTTTTTTTTCAGCTTTTTCTGGTAAGGCTGTATTCTGTGGAGTAGCTCAGCCACCCCACTAAAACAGGTTACATCTGCCTTCCTCCAGGAACTCATTCTCATTCTGCCTCTCCAGCAAACTTCTGGAACAAAGATGGCAATTTCCTTGGCTTTCAGAACCCACCATACAGCTGATTTTCTCAAATGAACAGTGAGGTGCCCATCCTACCCAGACACTGTTTTTAAATTCCTCAAATAGTAGAAGACAATCTAATTTCTAGAACTCCCTTGGAAATGATTATAAAGAAAATTCACTGAAATCAGTAGAAATCCACTTTTGCTACTTAGTCAACAAAATTTTTAGTGTCATTGGCAAAAAGGAAAAGGAAAAAGTGGGCTCTCAAATTGTATTGCCTTTCGTGTATCTTGATTCTGACACTTCCTAGCTGTGTAGCCTTGAACACATTAGCTAAACTTTCTGTGCCTCTATTTATTTATCTATAAAATGGGTATGATGATAATAGTTAATTCATAGGTCGAATCAGTATTTTTTACAAAAGTTGAGGCAAGTGCTTCATAAATATTATTTGCTATTAACTTTGTGATCACTGTTGATGTATTATTATGATTTTAATGTTAATACTTTTGATTTGGTACACTGTAAACAACTGCAATTCCTGAATGGGCATTCTAGACCATTTTAGCTTTTTGCCAGTCATTGGCTGTAACATATTTGTGGGTTTTGAAAGTTTTTTTAAAAATTTCACTGAGTAATCTCAACTCTTGTATTTCTTCCAAAGTAATTGTAGTTAGATTTTTCTGATCATTTTTATCATCACTTCCCTCACAGTATTTAGAAGGAGAAACTCTTACACTTACACTGTAATATTCAGCTTCTTTCCATTGTTTTCCTCTACTATCACATCTATTGTATAATATATTATAGTTCCTCTTATCCATAGGGGATACATTACGAAACAGTGGGTACTTGAAACCACAGATAGTACAAAACTCTATACAATACATACCTCTGATAAAGAATAATTTATAAATTAGCCCCAGAAAGAGATGAACAACAATAACTAATAATACATTTGAATACTTATAATAATATTATATATTATAATAAAAGTTATTTAAGACATATGATTATTAATTTCTGCAACTTTCCATTCAGTATTTTTATACCAAGGCTGACCATAGGTAAGCAAAATCATGGCTAAAGGGGAATTACTGTACACTTTTCTTGTGTGGTCCCTGGACCAGCAGCATCAGCCTCATCTGGGATCTTGTTAGAAATATAAATCCTTGGGCTCTTAGTATACTCAGGCAAAAAAAGAAAAGGCATTTGTTTACATATGGCATGACCCCATGTATAGAAAATCCTAAGGAATCTACCAAAAAACTTTTAGAAATAACAAGTTCAGTAAGGTAACAGGATACAAGATCAATATATAAAATTGAATTATATTCCTATATATAAGCAAAGAACATGCTTAAAGTGACATTAAGAAAAATTCCAACCATGATAACTTCAAAAAATAATGAAATACTTAAGAAAAATATGAAAAAAAGAAGTACAAGACCCATAAACTAACATTGCTGAGAGTAATTAAAGATCTGAATGGAGGGGCTGGGACTCTGGCTCAGTAGTAGAGCCCTCACCTAGCATGTGTGAGGCACTGGGTTCAAGCCTCAGAACTACATAAAAGATAAATAAATATTGTCCATCTACAACTAAAAAATAAAGATATTTTTTAAAAAGATCTGAATGAAGAAGTATTTAATATTTATGGATTGGAAGATTCAATATTATTAAGATGACAGTTCTTCCCAAATTGATGCATAGATTCACCACAATCCCTATCAAAATTTTAGCACAAACTTAAACTTATCCTAAAAGTTACATGGAAATGTAAAGCTTCCAGAATAGCTAAAACAGTCTTGGAAAAAAAGGACAAAGTTGGAAGACTCATGCTTTTCATTTGGGGCATTTACTATAAAGCTGCAGTTATCAGGACACTGGGATATGTGTGTGTGTGTGTGTGTGTGTGTGTGTGTGTGTGTGTGTGTGTGTATCTGTGGAACAGAATTGAGAGCTTAAGAATAAATCCTTTGTACTTATCATCAATTGATGTGTTGTTTATTTATTTATTTTTTTGTCCTGGGTATTGAACCCAGGTGGCACTTAACCACTGAGCCACAACCCCAGGCCTTTTAGTCCTTTTTATTTATTTATTTTTTGAGATAGGGCCTCACTCTGTTGCTTAGGGCCTTGCTAAGTTGCTGAGACTGGCTTTGAACTCATGATCTTCCTGCCTCAGCCTCCTGAGTCACTGGGATTATAGGCATGCACCAGCTATGGCTAATCAGTTTTTGACAAAACTTCCCAGGCGACTCAAGGAAGAAAGAATTAGTCTTTTCAACAAATAGGGCTGGAACAATTGAATATCCACATGCAAAAGGAAACATGATGCCACATATTAGATGATTCTGTGTATATGAAATATCTAGAATAGGTATTTATGTTTCTAAATTCATAGAGACAGAAAGCAAATTGGTGATAGTTAGGTGTTGAAAAGTGTCTGCTTAATGGGTATCAGGGTTTGGGGAGTTGTGAAAAATTTTTTAGAACCAGACAATTGCGAATGTACTAAATACCACTGAATTATACACTGTACGATGGTTAATTTTATCTCATGGGAATTTCACAAAACTCACTTTTTTTTTTTACCTTGTAACAAAATATTGGTTTTAAATACTGGTTTCTACTTCAGCACACTTGGGAGATATAACACATTTACCATCATTAACAGTGGCTCACTGCACCATTCAACCAAGGGACCACCCCTCCCTCCTTAATTGCTAGGTGAATATGTGAGGTTGAAGAAACGTGTCTTTTTTAAAAGGCTCATGGGTGATTCTGACATGTCCACTTTATTGGGAGTCATTATTCTAAGCATAAACTATAATTGTTCTATACCTATTCCATTATATATACAAACTGTAATATAATTAACCAGTTTGTGGACATGGAGATTGCTTCTAGTTTTCCACTGCCAGAAATGATGTTGACTGCATTTTTGATAGTGAGTTTATTATTTGCACAGTTGAACCTTTTTCTCATGCTGAAAGTCTTGTGAGACTTTTTTCTTTTTTAATCTTTTTTTAAATTTTTTATTAGTTCTTTTTCATTATACATGACAGTAGAATCTATTTTAACGTATTTATACAAGCATGGAATATGTCTTATTCCTAGGATCCTAGTCTTATGGATGTAGATGATGGTGACTTTTTAATGCCAGAATATAAAATAGTACTCATTTTACTTATCTGACTACCTTTGCTGAAATTTCAAGATAATTACTCATTATGGGTATAATAGTATCAATGCTCAACAATCCAGAAAATTGCTCTTTTTTTTACATTCATTTTGGCATTTAACCTCTTTAGCAGGCTATAGGAGACAACAAATTTCTAAGAAAATTATTCAGATAATTAGAAATTATTCACATAATTTTCAGACTATTTTGAAAATGTAGGTAAACAAAGCTTTTGGAACCCTGCATGTGATCACAGATGTCTTTTTATCTTCTTTTCTTTCATTATTTTACATATCTCCGTAAGTGATGATGGAAAGTTTTTTTCCCCATTTTAGTTACCAGACATTTTAGATGTTGGGGCTTTTCCTCCATACTCAACTCTAGAGGTATTTGTTTACTTGTTTGTTAGAAGTGATAGGAATGGAACCCAGAGCCTCATGCATGCTAGACAAGTGCTCTACCACTGAGCTACACCCCCTGCCCATAAGCTTTAGAATTTTAATACTTGGGGTTTTTTTTAATCCTCCAGAAACAATACTTTCTTTTATAAACTACGTAGTCCTGAGTACAGGACTAAATATAAGGAGCATATTTTGTCAAATTAAATATAAGGATACATGAGACAAACTGTGTGACCTAGACTATGAGGAAAAGCTGAGCTCTGGGGTTGTGGGTCTCTTAAGGGAGTGCACATGCACTCTGACCAGGGAGATAGTTCCTGAAGGAGTTATGAGCAAAGAGATGTTTATGGGTATCTGAGCTTGTCTATCTAGGAGGGAATCTTTTCTAGAAATCATTTTCTTTGTTTCATAAAATATTTCTACACCTAAAAAACAAATTTCCGATATAAATAGAAGCAATATTCTGTATTACCATGTCCTAAAATGATTTTTTGCAATCAGTTTAGGACATGGTAAATTGAAACCATGTGATTCAATTAAGAGGATAAAACCACTTATTCCCTGTGTATATGGAAAGCAAGGAAGATTTCTGATGACTTTCTGTAATTTTTTTCCTTTATTCATTTTGCAATTGCAATAGTATACCCTGCATGTTTCTCTGACTTACTGATCAGTCTCTTGCATTCCTGAACTGTGCACAAGTAGGAAAAGTTTGTTTAGAAATTTGTTTTCTAGTACTTAAAGGAGAAAATTTCAACTTTAATATTATTTTTCTTAATAGATTATGAACAGTATTCTTAACTCAAAATTATGTTTCATTCTTGAAACATACTAAAGTGTACCTACTAAATTAAAGCAGAAAATTTGAAGAACTATTTGTATAAGCTCAGATTTTATATTACTGTTGTACACAGAGGATCTCCAAAGTGATTGTATAGTACAGTGTGGTAAACTACAACCTGGGGGCCAAATTCAGTTTACTACCTATAGATATAGATATATAGATTTAGATATAAAGTTTTATTGGAACACAGCACTATATCTTTATTTATATTTCATCAATTGCTGATTTCATGCCACAGAGGTGGAGTTGAGTAGCTGCAAAAGACATCATATGGCTAATGAAGCCTAAAATATCTACTGTCTGTCCCTTCACACAAAAAAATTTTTTGACTCCTAGTATAGTAGAAATCCTTGAATTGGGCAGAGTAGACCTCAATTCTGCCTGCCGTTGATTACGTCTCTAAGTTGACAGTAATCTTCACATGTTGCTAGGCCTCTCTGGACCTCAGTTTTCCCATCTGCAAAACTGAATCTCCTAGAATGAGCTGTTTATAAGATTGACTCTCAAGCTTTAATAAAATTCTAAGAATCCATGAACTATTTTGGGACTATTTTGCTGTTTTACATAATAACTCAGCATTCAACATTTGAACCATGTGCGGTCACTGAGTTTAGAGAACTAAATAAACAAAACTGCTAGCCATAAGACAAATTAGGAACTTGCTACAATGGCTTCAAAAGAATCTACTTCTCAGAGTTCTTTTAAATAGTGTTTCCCTAATAGTATAAGTATTTATAGATCTTGGACTATTTTAGTAGCTAGAACAGGCCTTAAAACTAACATATCAAAAACTCAGTTGAACTTTATTTGGAAATAAAAATAATGTATCTCTAAAAGTCTAGTTTCAGTGTGTGGGAAATATGATTTGATATATAAAAATTCCATTACCACTCAGCTTTAAGGAACATGTATAATATGTAAAGTGAAATATAATTCTTCTGTGGAAAGAAGAACTCAACATTCACTACTGTTTTTTTTTTTTTCCAACATGGTTGTTATAGTTCTGCATTAGAACCTTTCTGCACTGACCCTGAACTTTTGGAATCGAAATTTGCCTAAAATGGTAGCATCAACATCAGGTCTCTGTTTTGTTTTCTTTTGTTGTTTTTGTTCTTCCCTTTTTATAGTCTATTTTTCAACTTATATTTGTAGGAGGAAAAAAAACAAAAACAAAACCTAAGACAAACCCCCTTAAAAGTTATCTTTGTGGAAGTATATTTCTATTAATGTTTTCATGGATTTATTAACAAATACCTACACATCAAGAAATGTAACTTTCTTTTCAGAAAAATTCAAGGGTTTAATATTTAAAATTCAGACAAAGACTACTATAGACTTAGACAACTTAGGTGATTTGAGCAATTTTGTGTAGACTAGCAAATGGCTGTGCTTATGTAGGGCTAGTCATGATTCCCACTTATACAATTCTTTATAGTTTGCAAAGCACATTCATGTACATTATGAATTTTGATAATCCTGTAAAGTATGTCAGTTTAGTACACTCAGTTTACATATAAGAAAACCTAGTGAGATTAAATGCATTACACAAGTAATGTCCTATAGCTGGAAAGTAGCAGAGCTAGGGAACAAACCTGGAAGTTTTGTCAGTCTTCCTGTTCTGGAAACAATAATTCTCATCCTTTCTCCACTCAACAGCTCTAGGTCTGCCAGGCCCTCGACATGGCAATGATCCTCAACCAGAACTCAGGGGGAAGCTGCGCACATGGCTTGAAAGTCACATTCAGTTTATTCTGATGTTTGGCCTGACTTGGAATTCATATACAAGAGTAACACATGATCATTGTTAAAAACAGAAAGAAGGGAGGAAAAATTATTTTTAAAAGAAAAATGGCTCATAATCCTACTATCCAAGCATAATTAATATTATGAATATTCTGGTGTATGTTGACTACATCTATATTAACATTTTTTTCCAAAAATGAGATCATGCCATACCTTCTTTTCAAGGTGAAATTCATCACAGACATCTTTCCATTTCATTAAACATCCTTCTGCAGCAACATTTTAATAATGATTACCGAATATTCCATTGTGTGGTACATATTTGAGTTCAAGATGTAATTATTTCATACACTTTTTTAAAATTTTTTTATTCATTTATTTATATGTGATGCTGAGAATCAAACCCAGGGCCTCACACATGCTAGGCAAGTGCTCTACCACTGAGCCACAACCCAGCCCCAGTTCATACACTTTTGTAATTCCCAGCAGTGTTATTTTCATGTATGCATATGTAATGTATTTAAAGAGCTTCAAAATTATTTTAAAAGCTATCTCTCTTCCAGCCAACATCTCCTCTGTACTGGACTGTCTGAACAATTTTTCAGATAACTACTTAATGAAATACTTTTATATTTGTGTATTTGTTTTAATCAAGTTTTTCATCTCTGCTTCAGGGAGCAGTACTAGCCGCTGTGTCAAGTCACAAATTCAACTCATTCTATGGGGATCCCCCTGAAGAGTTGCCAGATTTCTCTGAAGACCCTACCTCCTCAGGTAATTGCATAATCGGTACATTCAGCCATGTAACTCACTTGGCATCTACATCCTTTCTCTTTCATTGTAAGTAAACTTTTGTATATGAATTTAAATCCTCCAAGGGATTTTAAGGCAGTTTGTCAGCAACCACATCCTACCTACATGTGTCTCATTCTTTTTCATTTTAATTCCAAAGTGTCCCTCCCATACCGCTCCAAAACCAACATTTCACTTTTTTCTTTTTACCTCAGTAATACTTCTTCCCCTTTCTGCACTTCAGACCCAACATTACACTTCACCTAGTCCAACATTATAGTTTCAGACTTTTTGAATCTTTCCAATCACTTTCTCCCTCAACAAAAACTTCTGATGTAATATTTCCCCCATGCCAATCATGTTAAGTCAGACTTTGAGACAGCACTGCTTTAAAAGAATCTTTCAATGTAAAGCTGTCTTGTGAGCTTTGTCTTGAAATAGTGATCAAGTTCTTCTTTCTATATATAAAGTCTATAACCCTTGATACAAGTATTCAAGGAGGAAGAACATAGAAGAGTTACCTGTTTTGATGAATTGTGTACAACTAGTCCTGAAAAAATCTGATAGTGTTCATGAAATCATTTTATAAAATGCTCAGACTTCCATCTTGCCAATGAGATATTCTCAAGGAGCATTTACTAAAAATCCTCAGGCTACATGTATACGTATATGCAGATGCATGCGTGTGTGTGTGTGTGTGTGTGTGTGTGTGTGTGTGTGTGCGTGTGTGTGTCAGAGTTTTACATTTTTATTTATGCATTTCTTTATTAACTCTTGAGTTATGTCATCTGGCCTCAGCTTTTCTTCTTTCTTTCATTAAAGACACTCAATATCTGTCATGTGTTTGACTTTGCACTGCTGATTTGATTTTTGTACTCTTGGACTGGCATTTTCAATACTCATCATCATTGGAACCACAGCCCAAAGTATGAGTTGTTTGTCCCACAGTCAACAAGATGAAAAGAAGGAGTGTACCTGTTCTCTGTTGGAACCAGAAACATTTGTCATTATTTATGCTTCTGCCCTCCTCTGCTCACACACACATATGTACACAAACACACTCACAATTTCTGGCCAATTAGTATGTACTTTTACCTTGTGCAAGATGACAGCATCAAAGTTTCCCATTCAGCAGGTATATAGTTCCTCATTTTGATTTTTACCAACTGGGATATGAATCTTCCTCTTTTGATTGAAGGTGATTTCCAAAAATATTCAGAAATGGGAATCTTAGACTAGAAATAACTCTGAGGAGAAAGCCTTTCTGTTTTCCTCTTGTGCTGGCTTGGTAACCATCCAGAACCTTTACCACATGAAAGGCAAGGTTGTGCTTATAGGTATGGTCTCCCATACTCCCTATCATTTTATCTGTCTTTTTTCCCTTTCAATACATTTTGTTCCTTTTCCCTGTGACTTTTTATTAGCTCAAATTTTGCTCTTGTGTCTTGAGGCCAGCACTTGAACTCAGGGGCACTCTACCACTGAACCACATCCCCAGCCCTTCTTGTTTTTAATTTTGAGATAGGGTCTTGCTTGCTAAATCACCCAGGCTAACCTTGAATTTGTGATCCTCCTGCCTCAGCCTCCCAAATACTGGGATTACAGGTGTGCACTACCACACCCAGCTTGAATTTCAGTCTTTTCTCCTCCCACTTAGATTACATTTGACCCTCTTTAGGGCCAGCAGACCCAGAAATAGTTCTTATGTCACAATGTGACTACATTTAACAGTTGCATGCTTGGAATATATATATAGTATAAATCTCTGCGAGATTTTAGGTCAATACTTCTACTATCATTTATTTGCATGTTTGGAAATGGTCCTAGAAAACAGTATGGTCCTTGCAAATCACTTCATATACCTAATCTTTAGTGTTGGCCCTTAATTAATATTTACCTCTGTCTAGCAATAATTTAATAACTCTTACATGTTCTTCTCTGGGAAGAGGTAGATTTTTCCTTTAGGGAAAGAAATCACTTTATAAATGTGCTTATTTTCTATTAAATATATTTTTATTATTCCTTTTTTCTCATTTTTAGTATAATCTTTAGATAATTTGCTTGAAATAGTTTCTGATTTTTAATTTTTGCAGTCCTGGAGATTGAACCCAAGGGTGCTCTACCACTGAGCTACATCCACGGCCCTTTTTATTTTTTAATTCTGAGATAGGGTCTCACTAAGTTGCAGTGGCTGGCTTTAAATTGCCATCCTCCTGCCTAAACCAGATTAGCTGGGATTACAGGCATGCTCCACTGTGCCCATAGTATTTGATTTTTTTTAAACTGTTGAGGGACCTTTATTTTATTTATTTTTTCATATGTGGTGCTGGGAATCGAACTTTGCCTCACACATGCTAGGCGAGCACTCTACCACTGAGCCATGACCCCAGCCCTAGTATTTGATTCTTAAACTACAAAAAGAAACTTCTTACACAATTTTGCAGGTAGCCTACAAACCCTCATATTAATCTTCCACAGCCTTCTTGCTTTCTACTTCCTACAGTCATACCCAGTTCCTTTTCTTTTCTTTTTAAATTCCTGGGTCTTGATGATCTTGTAGGCAGTCTATATTTTCATTTGATATGCTAAATGACTATCATAAGTATTTTTCAATGGCATTGTCTGGATCTACAAATAAAAAAATTGAATTAATATGCTCTATACATGTCTAATGCCAATCACCTACCCTAATTGAGGAGAAAATTTTATATATTCAGAAGTAAAAAAAAAAAAAAAAACAAAGAAAATTTTTGAAGAAAATTCTAACACTTTCCTAAATTTCACATACTTATCAGGAATTATTCATACATTCTTAAAGTCAATTTTTAATACTAAGTCATTTAAAGGAAGGCATTCTACTATTATGGCCAGCATTATTTATCAAATAGCTAATCTGCCAGCAAGTATCCTTTATCTGCAACCAAGCAGTAGTGGTTATATGGTTGGTTGCAGAAAGCCAATTATATATTTTAATTGGACTCACATAAAGCCTTGCACTTTCATAAATTAAAACATCTATATGTTTGCTTTTCATTATTTTTAATTTCATTTTTAAAGTATATTTGTTAATTTTTATACCTGAATTCTTCTCTACTTCTACTAATACTTAAATTCTGCATCATTTATTTTAAGTTCCCAAAGTTATTCTTTCTGGTGTCTTTCTGTTGAAATTTGTGTGGCTTTGTTTTAGAAAACAAAACACAAAGCACTTTCCATCATCACCTGAAAATTCATTCAAGCCCATGGCAAAAAGAGAAAAGGATCACAAAACATGTGTTTATAGGGTGGGGCGGTGGGGGACAAGGAAAGAGGGGATAGAAAGATGGAAAATGTAAAATCAGCAACTGTTCTTTCTTGAGATGGGCTGTCTTTGTGTTCCACCTTTAGACAATGCTTTTTTATGAAGATCATAATGATAGGTCAGTTTTTTTAATGACCTTATTTGACAGAATTAATAATGGGCAATCCTAATTTGGTCCCCCCAGATTTCTTGCAGTTCTGCTGTGCTATGAAATCCCAGTATTTGAGAAGAGCCATAAAGCTGCCTACTCCCAAAATCCAGCATACATTTTCTTAAATCGAACCTTATCATGGGAATGAGTAATACTGTATGCATTTAGGAAAATATGAATATTTTAAAATCACAATTTAAAAACTAACCAGCTTTCCAGTTTGTAATCTAAAGGAAAGTTGAACATGCTTATGTTGTATCGTTTACAATATAAAATGATTTTTTATAAAAGATGTTTTTCTATTTTAATTATTGAAATTCATCCATTGTATATTTACTAGAATCCATGAAGTTTAATCTTCTGATAAACAATGTACTGTTGCTTTGTTGCTTAAGAAGTCAAAGCAGAAATATTCCATTCTCATATTTCAAATCAGAGAAGTCAGAATTAGAACCCAGTATTTGATGTCTGAAATCCTAATCAGTCCTGGTGATTGTGCTCGTGAAACACAAGGACTTCCTTTGGGGTCAACCGGGGGACTGCTGCTTCTTGTGGCTCATCTGGTGGGCCCAACTGTGGCTTGATAACCTGTTTGCTCTAAAATCATACTGTTTGTTGTTTGTCCATATGCTGCCTTCCTCCTAGGACTTCTAGCAGCAGAAAGTAGGTATCCCTTTGTTTTCCTCTAAGGTTAATCTTTTATGCAAACGTGTTTGGCTTTGCATGGTTTGTAATCAGCTTGACTTTTTCCTTGGCTGTTTGTGTTTAGATGTTTAAATCTGAATTTTAACACTGTCTGACCATGAAATGAAAACCTGGATATATTGATTTCCTGAGGTATTGTTACACGAATCTTCCCTTCTCACTTCTTTCATAAGAAGAAAAAGAGGCAGTGTTAAAATTTCAACCACATCTTACATCATTTCACATCTGAATTTCAAACACAAATACATTAATTCTGGGGAAAGGGTAATGTTTTATTTTATAGTTGGACTTCAAGAAAACTTTCAGGGTAAGTGAATTTTCATTTGACAATGACATGACCTCTAAATGGGTTTCATTACTTTCTATTACTGAGTCCATTTTCAGTTTATTAATAGGGAGCTGTGAAATAAACTCTGAAATCATGTCTCTTAACAACTTTGACTGCCAAATAGACATTTGAAAGGAAAAATATGATGGCTAGATTTTAATGACAAAGGGATATAATTTGAATATGTGAGAAAATTAAAATGTAAGAAATATACACATATAACTGAGTCTAAATAAAACTGAGGCAATCTGAATAAAATAGGTGGATTGTATCAGTGACAGTATTCTGCTTGTGATATACTATAGCTTGTAAAATGTTCCCAATGCAGGAACTGAGCAAGGTACAGAAGGCATTTCTCTGTATTATTTCTTATGAAAGCATGTAAATCTATAACTATCTCAATTTTAAAAATTAATTAAAAATAAAATAAACCTTTACCTCAAAGTTGTGTTTACTAAGAGGAAAGTAGATAAAGAGACAAAGATAAAATAGAAAATCTGGGTGCTTATAATTGAATTTATTGTCACATTTTCTTGCATAAGTTATTTGCAGCTCAAATTGCAGCCGATATGAAACTCTCACAGTATATTAATTATCTATTGCTGTGAAATGAATTATCTCATCTCAGTTTCTGTGGATGAGGAATGGGAGCCTGGTTTAGCTGAGTGCCTGTGGCTCAAAATCTCTCTGGAGATTATAGTTCAGAGCTCCCATCTCCCTTGAGGGCTGGACCACAAAGAGAATCTTAGTAACTCACATAGTTATTAACAGGCTTCAGTTCCTCACTAGTTGTAGGTGTCTCTATAGGACTGTTCACAACATGGCAACTTGCTTCCCCAGCATCTATTATCAAAGAGAGGGCAAGAGTAACAGCACCTAAGATAGAAGACGTAATCTTTATAACCTTATCTGAGAAGTGATATCATATAACTTGTGCCTTATTTTGTTCATTAGAAGTGAGTCTATAAACCTAGCCCTCACTCCAGGGGACGGAATTGATCACACGAGGGTGAGAATACCAGGGAACAAGAATCATATAGGGGTCCATTTTAGAAGCTGCTTACCACATACAACCTAATGACTATTAAAATGTAAGACTCTTTCCATATAAGATTTAGCACTCTCCCCTCTGTGGCTCTCTCTGTCTCTCTCTCTCTGTCTTCCTCCTTCCCCTCTTCCTCTTTCAGTTAGCCAGACCTGTCATGTCATTTGGGAATGAGCATTATGGAGTTATCAGTAGTGCTTTTCCTTAGTTAAAAAGCTTTACACAGATGGGCACCAAAGAGCCAGCAGAATGTTATTAAAGTACTTTGAAAACATTGGGCTCAAAGATGTTGCTATTTGGAAACACAAGATTACTTTAATAAGCATAATGGCACTAGAATGATAGCATCTATATTCTGACAGAATACATATGGAGAATTTGCTTCCCTTAACTAATAAAATTTGAGATGTCCATACCATAATCTATACATAAAGAATCTTAAATATTTATCACCATGTGTAAGCTTTTATAATTTGAATTGGATATAACACAGATTTGTAAGTCCAAGACACAATTTCCACTGCAAGATTTACTGTTACTTATAACTTGATTGAAAACCAGAATTTGCTTTGTGCAATGTGAATAAAAGCTGTTCCAGGGGAAGCCAGAAGAGCTTGACTATAGAGAGACAAAAGGGACAGGTTTTGGAGTAATGACAATATGCACTTAAATTGGTAAATTTTAACTTAATAAAGTATACCTTAGTAAACAATTTTTAAATGTTATTGTGCTGTCAAGGAAAGGGTCTTTGGGTTTGTTTGTTTCTTTGGTTGCTTGGTTGGTTTTTAGTACTAGGGATTAAACCCAAGGGCACTTTGATCACTGAGCTACATCCCCAGCCCTTTTTATTTATTTATTTATTTATTTTTGAGATGGGATCTCACTAAGTTGCTTAAGTCCTTGCTAAGTTGGTAAGGCTGGCTTTGAACTTGAGATCCTCCTGCTTCAGCCTCCTGAGCTGCTGAGATTACAGGTTTGCACCACCATGCTCAGCGCAAGGAAAGGTTTTGATTGGGTGATAAAAATGTGTGTGTACTGATATAGTGTTGTGTTAATGCATCACTAATATAATAGGAAAGAGAGATTATTGAATACTCTTCAGGAGGAAAAATTAGAGCCAATTCAGATACTAGATTTGCTAGTGACTCTGGGTTTCATAGCTATACATATAATTTAAGGCATATTCACAAATTTTTATTGAAATAATTGCTAGGAAACGTAGGTGCATCAAAACTAATTGCATGGCACACTTGAGATTTGTGTATTTCACTCTTTGTAAATTTAACCTGAGAGAGAGGAAAAAAAGATTGAAACCTTTACCAAAGTTCAGTTTAGGAATGAAGTGGTCAGTATTAGCCACTCTCTCATTTACTTTGAAATGAAAGAAAAATAAGGTGAATTTATGGATGAATGGTTGGCTTGTGATAAAGCAAATACAGCAAGATGTTAACAGTTGTAGGATGTAAGTGGTATGTACAGTTCTTTCCAATTTTCTGTGTTTGGAATTTGTCATAGTAAAATGTTTGGAAGACAGTTTTAAAACAGACAGCCTACTTTGACACAGAATTTTTCAGTTTTAACATTCTACTGTTTATTTTCTGTCCTCCTTTGGGGTTATTTTTACTCAGTCAACTTTTTTAGGAGATCTTTCCACTCTTGTAATGAAATTATTCTAGACCCAAAGCTCTTATTGACTTTAGAAGCATATTTCTCTTTAAAGAAGTAGGCTTAGAAAACAGTTGATGTTTTTTAGTATTATTTCATAATAGTAGCAGGAAATTTTTTGAAGACTTGTATATATCAATGAAATTCTTTGAAAAAAATAGAAGTTTTCAAAGTCAAAATGTGTGATTATCAACCTGATCGTTAAATACAAACTTGATTCCAAATGAACTAGGCAAAAGTAAAGTAAAATCTTATTCTGAAAGCAGGGCATAATGGCTTCTAATAAATTCATCAATGTGAAAGTTTGGATCAACAGCTCGAAAAAAACCCTTATATGGTAAATAAAGTTGAGATTAAAGACATAATAGAAATTGGGCATCACCTCTTTACCAAATGCAGATTATTTCAGTACATTGCTGAGAGTAAAACATGGTTTGGGGAGACCAACCGGTAGCAGAAGGAGCACTGGAGTAGGAGTCAGAGACTTGGATCCTAGGATTCACTCTTCTGCCCACTGTTTGTGGCTCTTGGATGGGTCACTTAACCCTACCAAGTCTCCAGTTTTTCAAATATAAAAATACTTGCCCTCAGATGGGGTTATTGTAGAATCACATAAGATAATAAGTATGACAGCTCTCAAGAAATTATAAACTATTACACAAATATTAGTATTAAAATAATTTTCATTCTGACTTTACAGAAACAGTAGTATAAAATAAATTGTTTTCTGTGGTTAAATCTTTTGTTCTAATACTTCCTTTCAATTCTTCAGAATGTGCTCAGAAAAAAAAATCATTTCAATCAAGTATCTTTTTTTTTTTTTTTTGGGGAGTGTCTTTTTGTACAAAGCACAGGCCAGAATACAAAGACATATAAGATGCCCACAGTCCTGCCATTAAATAAAGTGTCCTCTGAGGAGAATTTGTGTGCTATTTACTGATTGATTTTCCCCCCACAGTGGTTATAAGCTTATTCAGTGATTTTATAGGGAAAACATCCTTCTCGATCTTTGAGAAAAGTGATAGTTCTTTCTTATGTGACAGTATTGATCTAGAAATGAATACTTGTAACAGTAAATAAGTACACACCTTAATAGGTATGTATTGTATTAATTATCACCATTGCCCACGTTTAAAATCTGAAACAAATAGAAAATGGAAGGCCCCAGCAATGTCGTTGTGTCCATTTATATTTTATAATGAATTGAAAAAGTATGAGGCGTGTGTGTGTGTGTGTGTGTGTGTGTGTGTGTTACTAGAGATTTAACCCTGGGGCACTTTACCACTGAGCTATATATCCTTATAGCTCAGTTTTTAAAACATCCCCATTTTTTAAATTTGGAGACAGGGTCTCACTAAATTGCTGAGGCTAGCCTTAAATTTGAGGTCCTCCTACCTTAGCCCCCCTGAGTCACTGGGACTACAGGCAGAAGCCACGATGCCCAGCATTATGGTGCTTTTAAATGGGCTTGTTTCTGTACTGCAGATATCAGTTGCACACATCTGCTGGATCAAGAACGTATTCTGTGGTTTTGCTGGCCACACTCAAAGTAGAAATCACAAACTAGAATAGGTGTTAAAGGAAGGTGTTAAAATGGTCAAGGGTAAAGAAAGATTTTCAGATCAGGCCAAAAATATGTTTATTCAATTTGAAAATATGAAGGAAATATGGAAGGAAAATTATAATGTTCCTTCCTAATTATAGAAACTTGAAATCAGGGGCACCTTTCAGAGTCGGGAATGGACAACTTGAGTGCAAAATGCTTCTTTTCATAATTGAAAGCCACTAAGTTCATTATAAGACTATAAATCAGGTCAGAAGAGAGAAAAGATCAAGGAAGTTTAATAGACCTGTGGAGACTGTAGATCTTGCCTCCTGGAAATGCAGGCCAACCGTTGATTTGGTTCCTTCCAGCAAAACATCCATCAGTGGGCTCATCAGCACAGATTCACCCCTTTGTGAAGGTGGTAAATTCCTGCTCATCCACCTTCTCTGAGGCTGATCCAGCTCCTCCCTAGACAGCCTATACATGTTCCATTTTGTTTTTACCTCTATTGTTTTGTTGACTCCAGTATAGTAGGCCTACTTCCACACCGCCTGAGAACCCTTTCTCAAGGATACGGCTCATATTCATGTTTTCTCTGCAGCCCCTGCCTAGTACTTAGCAGAAAGCAAAAACATTCAGTAAAAGTTGGGGTTATGATCCAACCAGTAGGTTCAAGCTCTTCTCCAACCTCCATATCCATAAGTAAATCATAGTTCTTATAGAAATTTTCTCTATGTTTAATAACACAGCCAACTAGTGTAGTAAGTCAGGCAGATAGACTTTGGAACCAGACAAACTCAGGGTTTTCTGGCTCCACCACTTCCTAGCTGTGCCCTTCCTGAGCCCCTTTGAACCTAAGTCCTCTGTCTAGAAAGGTCACCCTTACTGTGTTGTCCTGGCACATAATGGACGCTCAAGGATTAGGAGCTGCTGTTATTACACTTTCTTAATGACTTGTTTAATTCAGTGCATATTTTGTGGATATTATAAAATATAGACCTGTCATATGGACCTTATAAGCAGAAATGAGAGTAAATAAGTACATACTTAAGTAACCCACAGAGGATGCTGGGGAGACAGGAATGACCCAGAGCAACGAAGGGAGTTCACAGACCAACAAATGATGCATCCCTCTTTGGGTACAACCAAAATTGCTTCCCAGTCATCAGACTGGCCATCTTAGTATTTGTTTAATACAAGGTTGTTCTTATTTTAATCTTATTAATAAACTGCATAGATTGTATATCAACACAAGCAATGCTGAATAGACTTGATAAAAACAGCTTTCTTTAATCCAGTTTTACTAGGATAACTGAGAGAAAATCATATTTAGGTTTCTGTGTTATCTGCTGACTTTTGAAAAATATACCCCCCAAAATAACAATTTCATGACTATTTTTATTATTGTAATTTCATAAGTCCAGGAGTCTAGAACTGGCTTTAATAACTTGATAAACCTAATATCATTTAATTCTGCTTTGATGATATGCTGGGATCAGAAGTTCAGAGGGACATTTGGAATGGATCTCTTCACATCATCTCTTGCTTTTCAAGGCTTTCAATAAGAGACAAACAGCGAGTTGGCTTTGAATTAATTTTCATTTTTTTTCCACTTTAAACAAATTAAAAGTCCTGAGAAGAGCAGGTAGAATGAATTGGATTATGTTAATACCTCCTCAGGAATACCAAGGGAGATGAGGACTGACTTCTGCATTGTATCTTTTTTTATTCCACTTAATATTTCTAGTGAAAGAATACCAATACCCTGGCAGGCTTAATTATTCAAAATTAAAAATTATCCATAGCTACTTCAACAAATGAATCATCAAACTGGTACATCCATACCATGGACTACTACCCAGCAATAAAAAGGAGAAAACAACACAAGAAGCAACCTGGATAAATCTCCAGAAAATTATGTGGGCTTAAAAAAAAAAAGACAATCCAAAATGGTTGCATACTGTATAATTTCATTTTCATCCTTAAAATGAAAAAGAAAATTATAGAGTGGAGAACAGATTAGTAGTTGCCAGGGATGAGGATGGATAAGATGGGAAGGAAATGAGTATGACTATAAAAGGGTAACACAAGGGATCTTTGTGGTAATGGAACATTCCGTAGCTTGATTGTATCAGTGTGAATATCCTGGTTGTGATAATGTACTAAATTTTCACACTATGTTACTGTTGGAGGAAAGTGGGTAAAAATACATTAGATCTTTGTGGGGTTTTTTTTCTTTTCTCTCTCTCTCTTTTTACAAATGTATGTATATCTACAACCATCTCAAAATAAAAACTCAAATTTAAAAAATAGCCCTAGTAATTTCCACATGGATAGCCACATGATTCGTGGCTTAAACATCAAATCTTTAACATAATTAAATCGTGCTGCAAAAATCAGTAGCTTATATAGTAACTTTTTTGTTCTTGTAGAAGACTTTGAACATATGTACAAGAACAGAATGAAGTATAAGTAGGAAAATAAAGAAAACTACTATTACCTTTTTAGTGTATTTCATTCAGGGTTTTTTCTGAGTTTGTGTTATATAATTTATTTTAAATCATAATTGGGAATATACAGTGCATATGGTTTTGCATTCTACTATCTTGAATTTTCTATCATGAGGATTTCTCTACATCTTCACAAATTCAAAAATAATGTCCATTTGGTTACATATTGCATCATATGTATATTCTGTAATTTATGTAATCACTGTCAGATTTATCTTTATTTTATACAACAAACATCCTTATATATAAGCAAGTCTTCTCCTATTCTTTTTCCATAAGGTAGGTTTTTTATAAATGGAATTCCTTAATCAAGCACATGAACCTTTTTAAGGCTTTATAATGTATGTTACCAGATTGCTCTCTAGAAAAATGGTACTGATTTACATTCTCACCAATAAGTGCACAACAGTGGATGAGATCTGACATATGAAGAATTAGGCACAGCATAAAGTTCCCGAAGAGAAATCTATTTTAATTGAAAGCAGGGTTTATCAGTCTCAGCACTACTAACATTTTGGGCCAGATAACTGTTGTTGGAGTGCTGTCCCAGACATTGTACGGTATTTATCAGCATCCCTCTCTCTCTAGATGCCAGTATCTGCCCTCTCCCTGCTGTTTTGACAACCAAAAATATCTCAAGATTTTAAGAAATGTTCCCTTGGGAAGCAAAATTGCCCCTGGTTGAGAACCACTGATCCAAAGACTTAAATGTGCAACAGAACATTTATTCTTAGACTTTCTCTGGTGTATACAAATATTCTGAAGTCTAGACTCTTAGGGTTCTTTTCTGATGGAGGATATATGTGCATATTGTATGAAGAGTAAAAGAGGTCAACCATTTCTTTTTTGTAATACCTTTATTTTATTTATTTTTATGTGGTGCTGAGGATCAAACCCAGCGCCTCTCACTTGCTAGGCAAGTGCTCTACGGCTGAACCACAACCCCAGCCCTCGACCATTTCTTTAAGGCTATGCAAATGACTTTGATACTACTCAGTGTGTATCTTTCCTTGCTATTACCTGCCAGGGGTCCTTGGTTATAAGAGGAAATGTAGCAGTGTAGTGACTTTGTCCTACAAACATGGATTGTCTTGAAACTGCATATGATATCTGGAAGTATCAGTTAGTATAGATACTCTTTGTCTTTGTCTTCTAAATAACATGGGCCCAAAAGAATGAGAATGGTTTTGGTTTTCTTGACTTTGCATGTAAAGAAAAGAAGGAATGAAGTGGATTTTTGTAGCTAAAGTATGAGACTTAAAAATCCTCCAAAGTTTATTTTAAGTGGCAGGTACTCCCAGCAGAAGGTTTGTCTCCCACACCTACAGGTGGCTTTTGTTTCGTGATGGAGTTTCCCTGTGTAAAAGGCCCTCCTGTTTTTTCTATAATATTTCAAAACACCTTGAGATCCCGACATCCATTCTTTCTGATATACAACTTGCTGCACCCATATCTTCTAGTAGCTCAGAGTTGATGAATGTCCTTCATTCAGATAAGACAAGCTTCACTTTATCTTTGAAAAATGAAGAGCACACAAATACATTGTTGCAAATACAAACTTTCCTGAAATACTCTGCCCTTAAATGATTGGAAACTCATTTAAACCTATCCTTCAGTAAAGACGCTAGCCTTCAAGTTCTGATGTTAATTTTTTGTTCTTAAATATAAGTTAAGGTTAGTTTGAAACTGATTTCCTGTACTAGCTTTTTCCTTTCTGTTTGCCCCCACAGGAGCAGTTTCACAGGTGCTGGACAGTCTGGAAGAGATTCATGCACTTACAGACTGCAGTGAAAAGGACCTAGATTTCCTACACAGTGTTTTCCAGGATCAGCATCTTCACACACTGCTAGATGTAAGTCTTATTTTTTATTATTCTTTTTTGTGGGGGGGCTGGGGAAAAACAAGTTGAGTATCAAGCATACCTTTTTACTTTTCAGAAATCCTGATATCCACCCTAACAATCCTATTTCAGTTGCCTTAAATCTCTGAGAAATGTGGAAAATTATCCATCATAAATTCAGAATTGAAATAAAGTGTATAATACAAATGCAATAGCCTAGCAAGATTCAGTAGAAAATTATATACATATACATATGTATTTATAAATTACATATGCATGCAAATGATATGTGAGTTTTTTTAAGCACATAGCACAACCCTAATTTACTGCAGTCTCTTTGTTTCTATTAGAGGAATCCATTAATCTATAGCTGTGATTACTTTTTAAATTTCCTTTAAATGTTGTTTTAAAACATTATTAAAAAAAACATTATGCCACAAGCCTGAATATAGGAGAGAGAAAAACAAATGAGATACTATGCAATGGACTGTGTTCACACATTTCATATTTATCATTGCTGGATTTCATAGAATCAGTATCTTTTCCTTAAAACATGAGTAGATTCCATCATTTAATATGGCAGACTCTAATAACAGCATATTGGGACCCAAAGAAAAAAACAAGCTGCCCCATACATTTCTGCCTTCACTCCACTCATGGTTTAAGTAAAATTCCTTTCTTAGACAACCTGGTTTGCTTTAGCACTGAACATATTCTTGGGTGCTTCTGATGATATTAATACATGCTAGTCATTTTACAAGAAAAACCTTCCCTTAATAAGAGAATGAGGGCTGAGCATGTGGCTTAGTGGTAGAGCACTTGCCTAGCATGTGCAAGGCCCTGGGTTCAATCCCCAGCACAGCAAAAAGAGAGTGATATTTGCTTTGGGGTCCCAGAACTGTTTCATGCTGATTAATCTACTATATGATACAAATTACACTAAAGCAAAAGTTCCCAGAGTGTATTCTACAGAGCATTCTTCTGGGAGATAGTGATGGGTGTTACCACAGTGGGAAGGGAAAGTAGATCTTAAATTTATTGGTTAAATTATTCATTGCCCAAATAAATTTGGAAAATGCTACATTCTTTTGTACCTTTATGCAGATTCACAATGGACATTATTATATTGACAGCTCTGAGATGTCCTAAGACAAAGAAACCTATTGAACTTTAACAGCATTTCTCAAACTAATTTTATTATGATATTTTATTTGCAATCCTGTTGAGCTCTATTTTGATGAAGACTAGTTTGGAATAAGCTAAGCCATTAGTGTTGGGTTGCTTCAGCTTCAAACTATGTAATTGTATATATCTGATATTTGGTTCTAGAATTCCATAAGTTAGGTCAGTTCAAATTAGTTACCAGATTTTGGTAACTAAATTAGTTACCAGATTTTGGTGCACATATTTATCAGTGCTAACAGCTATAACAACATGTGATTCTAAAATTTGAGTGACTAATCAGAAGAAAAGCTTATCTCTTGCTCACCTGACAGTTCAATGCCAGTACATAAGGGAAATCTCTTCCACGAAGTCATTCAGGGACCCAGACCTCTTCCAGCCCTGTGGCTCTGCTGACTCCCAGTGCCTGGGATTTTCCTCTGCATCCCTTGAATCCAGCCAGCAGACAGAAGAGAATATGGAGAATCTTGTAGGGTCAAGAGTAGAAATAGGCTATATCAATTTTGCCCACATTTCATTGGCAAGTACTAGTCACATGCCTACTTAGATGCAAGAAAGTTGGAAAATATAGTTTTGAAACAAATTTAGTCAGAAAAAATGAAAGAAAGAAATTTACTTGACAAGATATGGAATTGAATCTTTGCTTTTGTATAATTTATTTTTATTGTGTAATTATTATTTTTGTGTAATTTATTTTGTGTAATTTTTTATATTGGGAACCAAACCTAGGAGCACTTTACCACTGAGCTACATCCCAGCCCTTTTTATTTTTTATTTTATTTTTTTAATATTTATTTTTTAGTTGTAGTTGAACACAATACCTTTATTTTACTTATTTATTTTTATGTGGTGCTGAGAATAAAACCCAGGGTCCCGCACGTGCAAGGCGAGTGCTCTACTGCTGAGCCACAACCCCAGCCCAGCCCTTTTTATTTTTGAGGGAGAGAGTCTCACTGAGTTGTTTAGGGGCTTGTTAAATTGCTGAGACTGGCCTCAAACTTGCTATCCTCCTGCCTCAGCCTCCCAAATCACTGGTATTATGGGTCATGTGCTACCATGCCTGGCTGTTTTAAGCAATTTGAGTATTTCAGATTACATTTATTTTAAATAATTTAGTTGCCTTGAGCACTAGAAAGCCCTTGAAATTCATTCTATTTCGTGGAGAGCTTGGTAGCATTCCATTATCATGATCTTCTTAATCATCATCATTGTTTTTGTTATGTTATTTGAATTAGAATTTGACTTCTATTCACTTGTTATTTAAATGTGTATTGTTCACTGTCATTTGGTGCTAAAAATATCTTTTTTGTTTTTATCTCTTTTTTAATAAATTATTTATTTTACAGTAGAATGCATTTTAACACATTGTACAGAAACAGAGCACAGTTTCCTAAGTGTGAATTTCCCACAGAAGTCATTCCCCCTTTTACTAGAACTAGTTAGTAAGATATTTGTAAGAAGCTGTAGAGTGGAGATTTTGTTTATTTCAGTGATTAATAAGGTCACTGCTGAGTAGATTTGCTGACCTTTTTTAAGATCAAGGACTTTTTGTAAGGTAAAGGCTCAGAGTAGCCCAAATTGGTTTTCAAAGTTGTACTGCAGGGGAGGTGTTTTGTATTGCTGTTTTGTATTCAGACACAAACTAGGCTTTCCTGCTGAGCCAGATTGCCACTTAGTCCCAGTGTAGAACTTCTCAGACCTTACTAGAAATATTGATCCTGAGTATCCAAACTGAACTACTGAGTATATCTGAGTATCCAAACTGAACTATCCTTAAATGAAAGCTTCATCATCATGAATAACATAAGCCATAGATTCTGCTCTTCTACTCTTTTTTTGCATTTTAAATCTTTTTTAAAATTTATATGTGACGGTGGAATGCATTACAATTCTTAATATATATATATATACTGGACTTTTTGGTACAAATCATCACACTTTCAGAAAACATTCATAGATTTAGTAAGGAAAACATACTTAAACTTTCTTTGAATTCTTTTGAATTACAAACCTAAATAAGTATCTGCATGATCAGCACCTAAGCCCAGTCAGTGCAGCTTGATTTAAAAAGAAGCTATTGGACTGAAAATGAACCGTGCCCATTAAAAAGACAGTGGTAGAGCCTTGCCTAGCATAAATCCCAGCACCACAAAAAAGAAAAAGACACAAGTACTACACATGAACACTAGAATTCTCCAGAAATTACTATGAGGCCATGCCCTGGGTAATGTTTGGTTGCAAGTAGTTCTGAGTATCCAAACTGAACTATCCTTAAATGAAAGCTTCATCATCATAAATAACATAAGCCATAGATTCTGCTCTTCTACTCTTTTTTTGCATTTTAAATCATTTTTAAAATTTATATATGACAACAGAATGCATTACAATTCTTATTACATATATATAGCGTAATTTTTCATGTCTCTGGTTGTATACATAGTATATTTCTGCTCTTCTAATCTACATCCCATAAATTGGGTTTATTTAGCCTTCATTTTACTGCTAATAGGCTACATTTCAATAATATAATCAATGAAGTATTCAAGTGACTGCCATATAGAGAAATCTAACGATTAAAAAGGACTTTTATGGAGTTGGGGGTGTAGCTCAGTAGCGAAACACTTGTTTAGCATGCACAAGGCCCTGGCTGGATTCCATCCCTTGCACCTCAAAAGAACTGGTTTTTCTAATTTAAAAAAGACTTTTAAAATATTTAATGCTTATGGTACACATTAGAAAGGAAACCTAGGTATGACCAACTCTTGGGAAGGAACTTTTAAAACATTGGCTATACAGGGTTCAGGATGCAGCTCAGTGATAGCACCTGCCTAGCATGCACAAGGCCCTGAGTTTCATCCCTGGCAGCGCGCGCGCACACACATACACACATACACACACACACACACACACACACACACACACACACACACACGAGTGGGGGGAGGAGAAGGAAAAAGGAGGAAAAGGAGGAGAAAAACAACTTTGGCCATTCTTTTTTCTTTCTTCCAATGTTCCATATCCCGTGCTTGGTTTTTTTGTTTTGGGGCTTTTGTTTGTTTTATTTTGTTTTTGGTACCAGGGATTGAATTCAGGGGCACTCAACCACTGAGCCACATCCCCAGCTGTATTTTGTATTTTATTTAGAGGATCTCACTGAGTTGCTTAGTTTCTCTCCATTGCTGAGACTGGCTTTGAACTCACAATTTTCCAGTCTCAACCTTCTGAGCTGCTGGGATTACAGGCACTTGCCACCGTGCCTAGCCCATGGTTTGTGTTTTTTTTTTTAATAACTTTATTTTCTTATGTGGTACAGAGGATTGAACCCAGTGCCTCACAAATGCTAGGCAAGCGCTCCACCACTGAGCTACAACCCCAGCCCCCATGCTTGGTTTTGCATTATTTTTTTAAAATTTTAATTTGTTATATATGACAACAGAATGTATTACAATTCATATTACACATATAGAGCACAATTTCTCATATCTCTGGTTGTACACAAAGTAGATTCACATCCTTAGTGTCTTCATACATGTACTTAGAGTAATGATGACCATCGCATTCCATGGTATTTCCTACCCCCTATGCCCCCTTCCTCCCCTTTTCCCTTTGCCCTATCTAGAATTCATTTAATCCTCCCATCCCCTCCGCCCCCCACAGCATATTTTGGATCAGCATCCTTAAATCAGAGAAATCATTCGGCATTTGGTTTTTTGGGATTGGCTAATTTTACTTAGCATTACATTCTCTAGCTCCATCCATTTACCTGCAAATGCCATGATTTTATTCTCTTTTAATGATGAATAATATTCTATTGTGTATATATACCACAT